TTATATTCTGTATAATTTATCAATAGTATGTTCTACGCCACTGTTTATAGCAGATCCGACTATAGCTTCCGTTATTCGAAGTCTTTACACTCGATAGTTTTTCCATCAATTTTTTATTTTCGAAACGCAAATCGATGTAGGATTGTCCAAAGAATGTCCAAATCGATTCTACGATATTACAACAAGAATATCAAAATTGTTTTAATGGAATATGGGAAAGGGTAATCTGATACCTAATTATTGACAAAGGGTTAAAAACAAGAGACCTCCTCTGGAAAGTTCGTTGCATTTGTTGTTGCATAACGCTACCCTTTAACAGAAATTTATATTTTTAAAATAGAGCAAGTCATTTTTTCACAAGTACCGAATACCAGTACATTTTTGTCATAAAATTATAAATACTTTTAATCGTAAGATTCTTGTTTAAATTTGTGTAACATAATATGTCATAAATTATCTTCCGTAGCGTTATTGTACTGTTAGAAGCAACACTAATAGCTATTCCGCGCAGCAGGAGATACTTTTTACACGCTCGGTACCCAAGAATGACTAATTTATTTGCGTAGATTTGTTCAAACAAGAAAGGAAATGCAATCTGTGGGTTTATTCAAACATGCAAGAAACCTTTACATTATAAGATCTTTAACTATTTTAGTTAATCCTCGGTAATTAGTCTACCGTTTGATTGAAATTTGTTTCACAAATTACCACAAACAGTATGTCGACTTCGAAGGAGAATTGAAATATTGTTACCATCTTCTATTATACAATTAGTTCTGCACTGATCACTCTTAGATTTTTTTTTCATCCAAAAAAGCACACAAACATCGTCTTAATTCATTCACAGTTTTTTATCTGCGAGAAAACTCTTGAAAGTATAAACTAAATCTGAATATTGTCAAAGAAAGGCAGTCGCGGGCAAATCAACCCCAGCAATAGTTTGTACATTTCTTTAAACATTTCGAACAGAAATGAGAAAAAAATGATATCTAGACGAAAGATAACGCAACGAAGAAATAAAAACTTAATCGTTACACACTATTCTTACGAATTTTTATGGAGTGTATTTTTATATAATTTTCGTAGCAAAATTCAATCGTACTCTTCTTGGATACCGTTTAAAATAAATATACCGAACGGACGATGGTAAATTTTTTCTTTGCATCAAAATTATTTTGTATCTCTTCACATTTATTTTTCCACCGTTCGTTTCAGCGATGAGAATCGCGGTAAAGGTAATATTGTTCAAAATTCTACCTTGAAAACGACTGGTGATTGATACCCGCGCGAATGCCCGCTCTTAAATGCCATACGGCAGAAGATATAAATTGCAATCTACGAAGGAATAATCCGCAGGATGTACTGGATTACTTAACGAAGCAAAACGTGCGGAAGGGTGATGCCTGTGAATCAGTTAAACGATAAGATTCGATAAAAAAAATTTAAACAAAAGTATTACCTGAAAGATAAGAGCCCAGCGACGAGCGTACGATATACATATGAAAATATTATTTATTATGGATACTTTGGTTATCGCAGTGTCTCTCCAACCGCGAACCTGATCATATTTAAACGTGGAATGCAACTTTCGGGGAAACCTGGGTGAAAAATGGAAACGCGGTGCTTTGTTTTTTCGTTTCTAACGGATGATCCCGATGGTCGAGGAAACGTATCCACGAAAAGTTAAACGAGAACGTTAATACTGCCTTTGAACGGGCACTGCTGTCTTTCGAATTCCTCGAATACACGCATAGCAAAATCTAGTTAAGACCAACAAATACGAAACATCTGTTCGCATTCGTCGATTCAAGGGGACAGTTATCGTTGGCATTTAATTTTTGGTTGCTGGAAAATATCGTCGGTCACGATTGTTTGCCGAAGGTTTTTATTGTATCTATACGCGTTACACGTCATCCACTCGTCGGAACATTATTCTATTCGTCCGTTTGTCAACGAGAAACATCCTGCGCTGAACGTTTTCGCGAATTTTACACTCTTTCGATTCCGACAAAATGAATACGAACGTAACAATATTATATTTAAAAAAAAAAAACAACACGCCCTCCGAATGAAAAATCGATGTCAAAAAATGGTCTCGCACGGAGAAACTTTCTTTTTTTTTTGTTTGTATCTCTATTGGAATAAACAAATCGATCGATTTTCGTATAGTAGATACTAGTAAAAGGGCGAGGACATTGCGTCGTGTCTAATAATTTGCGCGTCTCCGTGGCTGTAAAATCGTGACACTGACCATTCTGTGTACCGTTAATCCAGGTCTGAAGAAGAACCAAAGGTCTACGGATTAAAGAAAGTACCACGAGCGACTCATAATGCCCGAAATCAATGACGGTAAATCCACGAAGCCGGCAGGGTGTCTTTTATTAATATTGGTTTCTTCTTTCCCTCATTAACCGCGGCTGGACGGTGGGTTCTGTGTCTGCGACTCTCGTTGAACGATTTCATCGATATTGGCATCACGATTCGTATCAAACACACCTGCAAGAAAGATTATTTATCCGTGTCGATTCTAGTTTCGGCGCGTACAGCTTCGCCCCGTTAGCGGGCATTCCTAAGTTTCCGAAGCCCCGTGTCAGATTTAACGATCTTAAGATTGGCGGACGTATCGTGCGGATATCTCGTTCTCGAAGTTTCGTGCGTGGATATCCGCTCGACCTACATGGGCTGATGCAGCGTGGAAGAATAACAGTGGGCGGAACGCGTTTTATTTTAAATATAAAGTAGATTGAGAGACCGAGGTGATTTTCCGGAAATTTTAGTCCGTGCTCGGGTACCCCCGAGGAATATTCAAATAAAATCGATTACCGAAGCATTAGCGTGGATCGACCGAAAGGAACAATGGCGGTGTTGTTCGTCTAACGCGATAAAGAGAGGGTTTACAATTTCGGAGAAAGTATTTATTTATTGTAAACGGGATCAAGTACCGTTAGTGTACATAAATTTAGCACATAATTCGGATGAAACGTGTTACAGTTGTTCGACAAAAAAAATTCAAATGTGTTTATCAGACAAATTAGATGAAAGATTGCGGATATTTTTGTAAACGATGTTATGAACAAATTTAATCGCCCTCTCGTTTCACATCCTCTTTGATGAAGACATTGCACCGTCGCTATAAAGTTTCCGTGGTTTTTCATTAAAATATTCTTCTGGATGATTTTTCATACCTTCAATATTATCAAATTTTTTAGCAACAAACGAGATTCAACGTCCGGAAGATCCGATAGTTTTGGTAAAATTTTCCAATCAAATTCACCTAATTTTCTATGAATATCTTTTAACAAACAAATCACGTTTGTCCGATTTGCGAGTTTTTAATATCTTTTTCTTTAATTTATCGTGTTGAGCACGGTGCCCGTCGACATTAATTGTCCGATTACTCGGTAGCAATTTAAAAAAGTAATATTCCTTTGTAATCCCGTCATAGAGAAAAAAAAGAACGTTGCGCAGATGGTTTTGCAATTTCCCTTTTTTTTAAGGATTGTCGCACGAAATCCATTTTTCATCCCCAGTCATTATGTGTTCTAAGAATTGCCCTTCGTTGTTGACGCAAAACAGCTTTCAGCAATTGAACAATTTAAATATACATTTTTTATGTAAAATATTTTTTTTGCCAATTTTTCCCCCGAAGAACATTAATGAAATTACTTCGAGAAAACCGTGATTTTATATCTGCAATAAACTTCTATACGTTTATTTCCGGTACATCTAAGAACGTTTTTACACAAAATTTATCGATTGAAGATTTCTTTCGACCATCCGTAGTTTACTATACTTGGAATTTTCGTATTTAATACACTGTCGTGGAAACGTTTCTATAGATTTCCCATAGAACTCCGTATAAAAGAGATCGGTTGACACAGGCGCAAAGGAATATACAATTCTTTGCCAGAGTAATATCCGTTTTTAACTCTCACAGACGACTTATAAGAACGTCTCATTAAATCTCGAAGTAACCCCGTATTTCAAGCCAATCTGATTACACTGTTGTAGAATCTTATTCCCCGCGAAGAAGAGTGTACAAAGAAAGGAAACTTATTTCTTGCAGCACATTTTTAACGTGAACGTAACGACACGTGTTACGTGATATTATAATAATTCAACGTTAAGGCATCCGCTTAGTTTAAAAATAAAAACGGATTCTTTCCTTTTTAATAATACAAATTCTGATAATACAAAGTCTTAAAAGTAGTAATATTTAAAACTGAATTCTATATATACTCCCACACCGTATGTTAAATTTTTAAACCGGTTCTCCCTAAATTACATCTTTCAAGATTGTGGTCGTATCTCGAGAAATAATATTCTTTTGATTCGATAAAGTAAATAGCCTTCTAACGTCACAGCTAAAATAAACTAAATATTTTTAAAATTCTTTACTTTTATCGTTTGAAGAATAAAATTTGTTTTCATTCGTTTCAATTCTCTTATTCCTTTTCATTCATAACAATCTTTTCGATTTCTACGTTTCGAGTGGTCAGAACGAAGTCATGTATTGTTTTTAGGTAGTTAAACTTTAACATGTTGTCTTGAGAAGGGCCTTCGTATCGATCGTAAACCGAAATATCGACAAATAAATTTTTATTCTCTAGTTGTTCTTATAACCTGACCTTATTTTCTTCGCCATATTGAATTAAGTCGGCTTCGTCGATGCGAAACATTAAAAGTTCAATTTTTGGCGATGTCACTTGTGTACAATTGATAGTGTTTAGAAATGAAATATAAAAAATTAGCTGCAACGTTGGTGCGTTTGTAAAGTATGAGCCTTTCCTCTCGGATCGGATGGTTCAGCGGAATCTTGATGGACAACAACAATGATCGAAGAAAAAAGATCCATGGGAGGATGGAAGGATGTTTGGTGGGGTTGAACTTCGTGGATTGGCTGCGCGATACATGGGCTGCAGCCGAGGGGATGCGTCGGAGGGTGCGTTCTCAGGTATATATACTCCTGTCGGTGGCCCGAGCGGCCGATCTGAACTTACGAATCGTTCGCCAGGGTACAGAAAGATTTCCGACGATACAGATTAATCTCTTGCATCCACGACCGTAGTCTCGAATCGACTCCTCGATCGATCGGTGAGTAGGTGCTCCGAACAGAATTTACATCCCGCGTCGTACATCCTCTAACGAAATATTGTGAGCTGTTTTGTGTAATTATTGTGATTTGTGCAATTGTTCGCATCGAACAGGACCGTATCGTAAATGTCTGATAATCTCGAGGTCGCGAGCGAAAGTATCCTCGAACTTTTAATTATCTCGAATCGTGATCGGTTCAATAAAATACAATTATCTATGGTTACATGAAAATTTCGTCCAACGTAAATATATAAAATAATCGAAGCTCTGCTACGATTTCGATCGTGTGCATAGGCGTACATATTTTTTATTTTTTATCTTTGAACGTCGATCGAACTGATCTCGGTTCCACCAAGATCTGATCGTGTACAAAAGTCACGTAGCCGTATTTGTTGCATACTACTCGAACGAGCATAGACGTTCATCGAACTCAGTGCACGGATCAACCAAATCATCGTAAGCGCTCACGTTATTAATAGAGTCACGGAACGTTTCATTATTCTGGAAATATTCCTTTATTGATATTCGACAGATAACACTTTATCGTGCGAATTGACGAAAGTCGTTTTTTAAAAGTGCTGTTTTTACTTTAACGATAAAGGCGTTTATAATATAATTCTGTCGTGAAAAGAGAACGAGTTTAAAATTCGTGTTCCCTGATCGATTCGATAGCTCGTTATCGTTCCGATTATTTGAAGTGTCCCTACTTCTCATCTGCTAAACGACATCGCAATCAGTTTTACATATTCAACGAAAATCACTTCGTTAACGTCCGCCATTTCGTTTTTAACAGGCGCGAACTTCGTTTTTCAATCAGAGCTATGCAAATGGGGATACCACCCAACGGCTGGCCCGAACAACACTTTCTTTTTATTTATTTAAAGGTGTTAAGGACACCCACGCAATTTTATCGATCTTAATCAGTGGCGTATTTAAATATTTAACAAAGGACGCGCAACTAAAGATTGACAGATACGAACGCGTCGAAGGTGGAGGGAAAGTTCATTTCATATTTATCCATCGAATGAAGTATTCAAGCTGTTTTCACAAAAACCGATACAGACACTGACGTCAATTACTTTTCAAAATAAATTATGAGACAATAAATTCTTTTGGGGAGTACTGTTAAGTGAGAAAACTGGTAATCTAGATCTTTTCTAATGGAATACCATTTACCTGAATCATTCTTTTTCTATTGCCCATAGTTACAGAGTCAAAGCGAAAAATTAAAATCGATTCTACAAAATTAAATTACTTAAGTAAATATTATTCACCTTGATAAGATCCAAATAAAAAGATAATACCATCATCCATTTAAAAAATCCTAAATTGACCTCCATTTTCCTTCTAACAATCGTGCCAAAAGAGTTAAAAAAACGTGGCCAGTCTCTCTGGACCATTTAATTTAAGACAAAAATGAATGTTCCAAACGCTTTATTCAGACCATATGGTATGAAATATTATATACAAAGGAATATATTTTCAGTTCCCTGTTGAATTACCATTTTATTAATTCCAATATTAAATACAGCGAGCGGCGAAATTAACAAAGTCGAATAATACTTCGCCATTTTAATCGAAGAAAATAATTATTTAAACACGGGAATATTTACATATGCAAATATATTTATCGAAACGTGTGCAAATTTTTAGGGATGATAAGCAACGATTTCGTTTAATCTTTTTTCTTTTATTCGAGAAGACAGTGAAAATTGTTTTTTTGTACGATCGCAACCTTGTGGTTCTTGCGCGCCACTGATTCGTAACAACGATTCAAATTAGTATCCAGTAAGAATTTCGCTGAAATTTTGTTATCCCTTCGAATCACGGGGACGGTGAGTTTATCGACAGAAATTATTTTTAAAGTTGTAACGTACGCAGGATAAACGACGCCAGTGTTTAGAAAAATGATCGATTCGTTTTTAAACGACCGCGATACGAAACGCGCAACTTGTGGATTCCTGCAGGAATATTCGTCCTCTTCGAGCAGCTTTGTTACTGGATTATCGAGTTTGCGAGAGTACCTTTTATGTCGCAGTTTTCGCCTAACGATGTGTATTCTTTTAGTGTACGGTCCGCTATAAAACAGGTAGACGGTCGATTCGGGTTGTTTCTCGGCTTTATGAAAACTGGTCATAGCGCGAGCTAAGCCGACAGCAAACCAGTGATATTGTCTTCTTAATGGGCCCATAGAAATTACTGAATTAATTTCGCAGCGTTACTCGGAACTCGGTCTAAAAGAATTGTTTCGCTCGTAGAAGAGAAATGTGACATTTAGATAAATAATAAAGATTATCAATAAGATTATCGCATGTAAATATTATGTTATAATGACGAATTCTATCTGATTAGTTGGCAATGCTTTGAGATTAGCACTCGATTAGTTATTGTATTGTTTCATACAATATAGATTTCCTGGAATTGATTCTTTGGCCCATTTCATGGGCGCCGCGTAAATTTCTAGTCTAGACGATAAGTTTCGAACAACGAATAAAACGTGAACAAGTTTTGCTGCGTCATAATCGAATTAAGTCGTAGGAATTAAATATTTTATAACGTATTTTAAGCGTATCAGAATCCATCGCGACGCACATTTTCGACAAGTTCAAATTTAAAAAATGTTTTAGATAAACCTTCGAACGAATTAAGTTACGCGTGAAAAAAATTAAAAAACATTTTCTCTATTATATTCAATAAAAAAAGAAAAGGTTAAGTGAAAACTTATTCGTCGCGTACTTAAGAAATTTTCCAACGGATGTTAATTCCAACTTTGTTATTATGAATATTTGTGTAACTTTTTTCTGGATTTGGCATACGATTGGCCCCAGTGCGTCGGTCGATTCCATTTCGATATTCGATTTAGAACTATCGAATATTCTCTGTGGTAAACTTTCATTATCGGCAAACTTGTGGCAAACGAGCACGATGCAACAGGTAACTCAACTTCAAGTTTAGTTTCCGTCCAGATTAGTTCGTTGCAATGCGTTATCGCGAGTTATTCTGGGTCTCTTTCAAGAATCAATTGTTCGTGTTTCGCGCGATCTTTCCACAGGGGCTGCGTTTTGTTCGACTCAATGGTCATACGTGGCCGTTGCTTCTGCTTGTCTTAGGATTCTGTCGCGACACTTATAAAATAAACCAATAGTGGTTTCCAATCTGTTTGGAAGACGCCTCCTTGAAACGGAAACGATACACAAAGGATCTAAACTCGACTTCTCTCCGCGTATTAAAATTATTGTCGCAGAAGCTAATAAAACTGTTTATCGAGCGATTTTCATCAATTCCCGCTAATACGTATTACGCTCGATTGCTTTACTGTTTACTTGTGAGGTCACACTTTGAATCAGTTACATGGCCAATAAATCGAATCAAACATAAACGGATGATAGAAAGTATACGACATAAATCCTTCTTAAAAACCATACTATTTGTAATGGAGTATGTGTATACTCCAATGGGGTTAACTGTACAATAAATTATTGTTATTATTGTACATCTATAAGTTTCTCATATTTTCTCTTAAATCGTAAGATTGACCCCGTTGAGCGATAAACTAATCGCGGGATACGATGTTTGCATAAATTTCCTATTCTGACACTGTACGTTTATCTTTAATGTAATAGATCGGACGATATTGTTCTGCCTATTGAGAGCAACGTGGAAATTTCTTTTTCAGTAAACTGGACCGTAATTCGGTGGCAAGAATGCAATCGTTTCCAAATGTCATCTACTTGTTCCTCGTCGTCTTCATTCTTGGAACTACGATTGTACTTGGTGAACCCGAACCAATGGCCCGACCAACGCGACCAGAGGTATTCTCAAGCCCGGACGAGCTAAGGAAATACCTTGACCATGTTAGCGATTACTATTCTCTGAGCGGAAAAGCTAGGTACTGTGCAATACCTAATATTCGATGCATATAGCATGAAAACGAAGTCGGTTATATATGTACATTGTTTACTGCTACACGCGCGTAGCCCCATCGTGTGGTTAAAAAATGCCACAAAAAGAAGTGGAAAATATGTGGTTTTTATTCTTCGTGGCATGGACTATTCTACATATGTAGCATAGACAGCAAGACTTCGGGACGAAATTGAATTTTATTAATAGCAACATTTTATTAGTAGCGACAAGCGAACTTACTTTTGAAAACCCCTATTGCAATAGAGCTTAGGATAAAAAGCAAGCTTAAGAACTTAACAACAATTATTTCCATTTCGTGGTTGATTTCCATTATCCGAGACGGACGAGTAAAACGTAGCGTACTGTACGTCTTTGAGAAGTTGGCTGGCGAAAGGAACGCGGGTCCGATTGGTTCCGCACTCTGGTTCAGAATTTGGCGTGCCCGCGGTACCACGCGCACTATTGGCCGAAACAACGACCAGAGTGAGGATAGGAGGAGCGATCGAAGGTCTCCTCTGTCCCCTGTGTCATCTCGCTAGTCAACTTCTCGCGTGCACGCGATACACGCGACATTAAACGTCGCCGTGACCTCGTTATAACGCATATGGTAAAATAATCAGGTACGGGAAGAGAGGCGATGGTCCATTCGCGATCTCGGACGACGGCCGTGCTTGGGACACGGTGAAAACGATCCTGGACGTTTCCCAACAACCGCAACAACCGAGATTCGAAAAGAGAAAGCTGGAGAGACGTCAGTTTTTTCGCGAGCTGGACAGTTCCGGCGACAGGAAGCAGCACGGCACGAGAATCGACGCCCGACCTTGTCACGTGCTAGACATAGATGACAAATACTACGACGATGTGCAATAAAACGATCTGTGCGTTCCCCTTCATTTACAGCGTATACGTCTTTTCGTTACACGAATTAATTGTCATATATCCTTAAACTGTTTGTCGACGTCGAACAAGGTAATATCTCCCACGAAACGGTTAACCCTTAATCTTTTTACTCGAGAACGACGCCTTGTACATCTACAGCTGGAAATGAAACGGAGGAGGTTCGTTCGGACGGCATGAAAGTACGCAATTAGAATATTTAATTGTTCGTTTATTTCGATAAGTTATAAGTTGACACGCATTTTCCTGTGAAGCAACGTTAAAATTTGAAATAAATGATAATTGACGCGACGTTGTTTTAAACATTTTATTAACAATTTAGACTTCTTTCACGGCCTTCGCTACGTTCGGTCTGAATACGATGGGAGTAGTTCGGCAAATAATGCAATGTTTACAACATAATCAAAAATATTTATTGTACAATGGTGAAGTTTTTAATGAAAAATACATCGTGTACAAGGTGATACAAATACTCAACGATGTTCACGTATGGAACGATATCTGACAGCAGTTATTTACGACAAGGCAGGGTTAGAAAGGGAACGTGTATCTTCTGCTCGGCCATGTTATAGAGAGGTAACAAATTAAATGTACTACATAGAATGCCATATTATTCTTATATTTCGTTCGTATACATTTTTACTGGGAACAATATGCAGGAACATTTGATGCAACATCACATTCGCTTACTATGGGATTGAAATATAGATTTTCTAAACAGTCGAAGGGTCCAGTTCTTCTACCTGCCTTGCATTCATAATACTTTCGGCAATTTGTTTCATCAGGTACTCTATCGCCATTTTTAAGTCTCGCACAGTCATCGTCATCTGTTGGGGGAGGTAGAGTTGTGGGAGGTTGAGTTGTGGGAGGTTGTGTTGTGGGAGGCTGAGTTGTGGGAGGTTGAGTTGTGGGAGGTTGAGTTGTGGGAGGTTGTGTTGTGGGAGGCTGAGTTGTGGGAGGTTGAGTTGTGGGAGGTTGAGTTGTGGGAGGTTGAGTTGTGGGAGGTTGTGTTGTGGGAGGTTGAGTTGTGGAATCTTGAGTTGTGGGAGGTTGAGTTGTGGGAGGTTGAGTTGTGGGATCTTGAGTTGTGGGACCTTGAGTTGTGGGAGGTTGAGTTGTGGGAGGTTGAGTTGTGGGAGGTTGAGTTGTGGGAGGTTGTGTTGTGGAAGGTTGAGTTGTGGGATCTTGAGTTGTGGGAGGTTGAGTTGTGGGAGGTTGAGTTGTGGGAGGTTGAGTTGTGGGAGGTTGAGTTGTGGGATCTTGAGTTGTGGGAGATTGAGTTGTGGGAGGTTGAGTTGTGGGATCTTGAGTTGTGGGAGGTTGACTTGTGGGAAGTTGAGTTGTGGGAGGTTGAGTTGTCGGAGGTTGAGTTGTGAGATCTTGAGTTGTGGTAGATTGAGTTATGGAAGTATCAGGTATTCCACCTGCACAGCAGGGTACATTCTCTGGCCAATCGCATACTTGCAACTCCGGGTTAAAGCACAAATTCTTTGGGCAGGTCATTTCTACCTTCTGCCCCATTTTGCACTTGTAAAACTTATGGCAATCGGATTCGTGCGGAATCTGAGTCACGTTTTGTCCATCTACTTTTGGACATTCGTTCTTTGGAATGTTGGCAAATTCATCGGCAAATTCATCGGGTGCAACGCTTGCCACTGTTACAGCGGCGATAATGGCCACTAAATATATACCTGAAATTTATAAAGCAGAAGAGTCATTACCACGTATCGTAATTCTGCGCATAATATTTGTTTTCGATTCTAATTCTTTCTTTCAAATGCTCATTCGATCGACCATAAATTCGGCTACATTACTACCGAATTTAACTACCGTAGATTACTAATCGGACATTGTTCTTCACTAAAGTTGTCATCCGATGTTATCAGGCAGCGTAATCAAACGGCACTACGTGACTGGCTGTGCGTGACGTTATTTTAGCCACGGTTTTTAAAGATAAAAAGTACCTAATTCTCGAAAGAACATGGCATAACTAAGAAGCGTACAGTTTACGATAGAGTCAAATTTTTTTAAAAATATTTTGCAATTTTGAAACACTTCGATGCAGCACTGTTTTTATGATCTGAACTAAGATTTTACCTGCTTCGCACGAATCGTATTAAAAATGTATTATTCGTCGACTCGATTATTTACGATAATCGGTTATTAAAAAATTTAGAAATATATAATTTATAATACTTAAGTTCATAAATTTATTAGCTAGGAAGCAATTTTTAAACAATGTTTCGTTCGATTTCCATTTCGACGCTCGAAAATTGATGGGCCTTGTCAGTTCTTTTGTGCGGGTTCAGGGAGTATGCGAAACATTAAGAAAAAACAAAATTCGTTGGAGAGCTGTCGGTGCTCCGTAAAATTCACGAACGAAACTCACGTTAAATTCGTCTTAAGTAAAACAAAAATATAAAAACAAAATACAACCGATCTTTTGAAATATCCATTAACAACTTTCCAAGAGTAAATATTGTCACCAATTTTAGAAAGTCAATTACCGTACCTGGTGACTATATTTCGACGTCCAATAAAATAAAGAATTTTCGGATATCAGTTATTCGTACACGTAGAAATCATACCGAACACATAAGCACGTCTGAAACAGGGTTTAGGGCATCTAATACCGAACGCTAGCGATATTTCGTCGTGTTCCATTCGGATGTTCACAGCTAAGAATTTCAGTTGATCGTTGCGTCTAATTAGAAGCTAGTTTATGGTAAAAATTATAAACTACTATACCTATCAATTTGTGCAGTGAAAAAACGAATGAGTGGTATTACTATATCTTTTGGTAAATACTTTTTAAATTATCTTTGTATATCATATATACGATGCACTGGTCTTCATGAAAAAAAAATTTCGATCACTGTGGATCTGCTATTAACATTCTATTAACAATAGTTTCGATGTTTCACATTGACTTCTAATACTGTTAAATTATAAATAAAACAGTATCGAAAATATACAATATTATATTCTTATATTCGTCTAAGAAAAATCTTGAGCGTCGTGAATTTATCAAATAAAAATAGTTCCAATACTTAGAAAAGTTAGTAATATTAAACGTTTCAATTATCGATATTTACTAAGAATATTTTCTTTAATTTTCTCTTGTCCGTTAACGTTGCTTCGAGAAATACTTACGTCTCATTGCTAATTACACGGTTCGCTGAATTTTAGAAACGATCCACGTTGTTATTGGTTATCTAATAAGTAACTAAATTTGCCGGACACGAAATGACTTTTATAAGCGACAAAATGCCTTATCGCTGTGCCACCAAATATCGTGCATGCGTGCTCAATACTTAAGATTAGTAGTTTTCGGTTCCTTTAATCAGTATTGATTAACTCGCACTGATAAAATAAATATGATACTCCTCAGATTTTAGCGTCTAGAATCTCCCATTAAAATTTTTCCCAGAGGTGACCGAACAACCTGTATATATATAGTAATATTTAATAATACCTTATGTGAATATAATACCAAATGCGAATTAAAAAAGTGTATATATGCATCGTATAAAGTGTTTCTGGAGTTCCAAAACCGTGCGGGCACTAGAAGCACGTTGAACGAGCAGAGCGCGGTACGCAATGTGTTAACAAGAATTATTTTCATTTCGTGGTTGATTTCCATTATCCGAGACGGACGAGTAAAACGTAGCGTACTGTGCGTCTTTGAGAAATTGGCTGGCGAAAGGATCGCGGGTCCGATTGGTTCCCCACTCTGGTTCAGAATTTGGCGTGCCCGCGGTACCATCGCGCAATATTGGCCGAAATAACGACCAGAGTGGGGATAGGCGGAGCGATCGAAGGTCTCCTCTGTCCCCTGTGCCATCTCACTAGTCAACTTCTCGCGTGCACGCGATACACGTGACATTAAACGTCGTCGTGACCTCGTTATAACGCATATGGTAACATAATCAGGTACGGGAAGAGAGGCGATGGTCCATTCGCGATCTCGGACGGCGGCCGTGCTTGGGACACGGTGAAAATGATCCTGGACGTTTCCCAACAACCGCAACAACCGAGATTCGAAAAGAGGAAGCTGGAGAGACGTCAGTTTTTTTCGCGAGCTGGACAGTTCCGGTGACAGGAAGCAACACGGCACGAGAATCGACGCCCGACCTTGTCACGTGCTAGACATAGATGAAAAATACTACGACGATGTGCAATAAAACTATCTATGCGTTCCCCTTCATTTACAGCGTATACGTCTTTTCGTTACACGAATTAATTGTCGTATATCCTTAAACTGTTTGTCGACGTCGAAAAAAGTAATATCTCCCACGAAACGGTTAACCCTTAATCTTTTTACTCGAGAACGACGCCTTGTACACCTACAACTGGAAATGGAACGTAAGAGGTTCGTTCGGACGGAGTTAAAGTACGCAATTAGAATATTTAATTGTTCGTTTATTTCGATAAGTTATAAGTTTACACGCATTTTCCTGTGAGGCAACGTTAAAATTCGAAATAAATGATAATTGACGCGTCGTTGTTTTAAACATTTTATTAACAATTTAGACTTCTTTCACGTCCTTCGCTACGTTCGGTCTGAATACGATGGGAGTAGTTCGGCAAATAATGCAATGTTTACGACATATTCAAAAATATTTATTGTACAATGGTGATGTTTTTAATGAAAGATACATCGTGTACAAGGTGATACAAATACTCAACAATGTTTAAGTATGGAACGATATCTGAGAGCAGTTATTTACGACAAGGCAGGGTTAGAAAGGGAACGTGTATCTTCTGCTCGGCCATGTTATAGAGAGGTAACAAATTAAATGTACTACATAGAATGCCATATTATTCTTATATTTCGTTCGTATACATTTTTACTGGGAACAATATGGAGGAACATTTGTTGCAACATCACATTCGCGTACTATGGGATTGAAATATTGATTTTCTAAACAGTCGAAGGGTCCAGTTCTTCTACCTGCCTTGCATTCATAATACTTTCGGCAATTTGTTTCATCAGGTACTCTAACGCCATTTTTAAGTGTCGCACAGTCATTGCCATCTGATGGGGGAGGTTTAGGTGTGGTAGATGTAGTTGTGGTAGATTCAGTTGTGGTAGATTCAGTTGTGGTAGATGTAGGTGTTGGATTTGGAGTTGTGGTAGATTGAGTTGTGGTAGATTGAGTTGTGGTAGATTGAGTTGTGGTAGATTGAGTTGTGGTAGATTGAGTTGTGGTAGATTGAGTTGTGGTAGATTGAGTTGTGGTAGATTGAGTTGTGGTAGATGGACTTGTGGGAGGATCAGATATTCCACCCATACAGCAGGTTACATTCCATGGCCAATCGCATACTTGCAACTCCGGGTTAAAGCACAAATTCGAACGGCAGGTCATTTCATACTTCTGCCCCATTTTGCACTTGTAAAACTTATGGCAATCGGATTCGTGCGCAATATGAGTCGTGTCTTGCCCATCTGGCACTGGACAGCTTGTTGGAATGTCGGCAAATTCGTCAGTAAATTCATCGGGTGTAACACTTGTTACTGTTACAGCGGCGATAATGGCCGCTAAATATATACCTGAAATTTATAAAGCAGAAGCGTCATTACCGCGTATCGTAATTCTGCGCATGTTTGTTTTCGATTCTAATTCTTTCTTTCAAACGTTCATTCGATCGACCATAAATTCGGCTACATTACTACCGAATTTAACTATCGTGGATTAGTAATCGGACATTGTTCTTCACTAAAGTTGTCATACATTGTTATCAAGCATCGTAATCAAACGACACTGCGTGACTAGCTATGCGTAACGTTATTGTAGCCGCGGTTTTTAAAAATAAAATCTACCGCATCCCCGAAAGAACATGGCACGACTAAGGAGCGTACAGTTTACGATAGAAGCATATTTTTTTAAAAATATTTTGCAATTTTGAAACACCTCGGTGCAGTACTGTTTTTATGATCTGAACTAAGATTTCACCTGCTTCGCGCGAATCGTATTAAAAATGTATTATCCGTCGACACGATTATTTACGATAATCGGTTATTAAAAAATTTAGAAATATATAATTTATAATACTTAAGTTCATAAATCTATTTGCTAGGAAGCAATTTTTAAACAATGTTCCGTTCGATTTCCAATTCGACGTTCGAAAATTGATGGGCCTTGTCAGTTCTTTTGTGCGGGTTCAGGCAGTATGCGAAACATTCGGAAAAAACAAAATTCGTTGGAGAGCTGTCGGTGCTCCGTAAAATTCACGAACGAAACTCACGTTAAATTCGTCTTAAGTAAAACAAAAATACAAAAACAAATATAACCGATCTGCTGAAATATCCATTAACAACTTTCCAAGAGTAAATATTACCACCAATTTTAAAAGGTCAGTTACCTTACCAGGTGACTATATTCCGACGTCCAATAAAATAAAGAATTTTCGGAAAACAGCTATTCGTACACGTAGAAATCATACCGAACACATAAGCACGTCTGAAACAGCGTTTAGGGCACCTAATACCGAACGCTAGCGATATTTCGTCGAGTTCCATTCGGATGTTCACAGGTAAGAAGATCAGTTGATCGTTGCATCTAATTACAAGCTAGTTTATCGTAAAAATTATAAACTACTATACCTATCAATTTGTGCAGTGAAAAGACGTGTGAGTGGCATTACTATATCTTTTGGTAATTACTTTTTAAATTATCTTTGTATATTGTATACAGGGTGTTCGGCCACCTCTAGCAAAAATTTTAATGAGCGATAGTAGAGGCCAAAATAAGACGAAAATCAAGAATACTAATTTGTTGATGGAGGCTTCGTTGCAAAGTTATTAACATTTAAATTTCCGCCTGTAGAATGACAATCCGCTAAACAGCTGGTTCGCGCGGACGGTTGCGGCAGGCGAGTGCTAGTGGTTCTCACGCAGCATGAAAAATTCTGCTTACCGACATTATCGACAGCCTTAGATTTTTGTCCACTTATGGGAATGCGAACACCTTACGTTGAATAAGATTCAACCTGTCTTATGAAAATCCAGAAGGGCATATCAAAACTCGTCCGACGAGATTTTCACAGAGAAAGGGTGAATGCCAGTTCCAATACACAATGTTGTGAACAAAAATCACCCACATGCGATTATACACGCCCCACGATTGTCCACAGTGTCCACAAGTATCCACAAATAATCCTTTCAGGCACTAACCACTATGCAATTAAATAAACACGTACCGCGATTATGTTATTCGTAAATGTCTACTTACGTGTACGTGTATCACGATTCTTCCGAGTTACTTACGAATAAAACTGTTATTAATTTTTCAAATACACTTCAATTTAAAAATGGTGATTTGTCATGTGGGTGATTTTTGTTCACAACATTGTGTATTGGAACTGGCATTCACCCTTTCTCTGTGAAAATCTCGTCGGACGAGTTTTGATATGCCCTTCTGGATTTTCATAAGACAGGTTGAATCTTATTCAACGTAAGGTGTTCGCATTCCCATAAGTGGACAAAAATCTAAGGCTGTCGATAATGTCGGTAAGCAGAATTTTTCATGCTGCGTGAGAACCACTAGCACTCGCCTGCCGCAACCGTCCGCGCGAACCAGCTGTTTAGCGGATTGTCATTCTACAGGCGGAAATTTAAATGTTAATAACTTTGCAACGAAGCCTCCATCAACAAATTAGTATTCTTGATTTTCGTCTTATTTTGGCCTCTACTATCGCTCATTAAAATTTTTGCTAGAGGTGGCCGAACACCCTGTATACAATACAATTTTTTTGTCAATAATCGTATCAATGATTGCTATTTCGTTTTCAGTGGTTAGAAATTCATTTAAGAAATACAAACGATGATAAGCAAAGTTCGCGGGATTTATTATGTAAATTGCGAAATGACAAATATTCCGCATGAGAAAATAAGGAATCGACAAGATTTGATTTCTATGATGGGATCTGAAGATCCTAGAAAACATGATTACGAGACAAAGGAAAGAGTATTCGAAAGAGCAAAGAGATGTAAGAAAAGTGCAATCCTGATCTTATCGATCAATAAATTATAAATTATCGAAAATGGAACGAGAGAACAAACAAAAAATTCGGGAAGCAGCGTAAGAAAACCAGAACGCTAGAAAAGCCATTTGCGTGATCTGTTTAGAAAGCAACGAAGAAGACTGGATTCAGTGTTGGGCAAAGAATGGGTAGACGAATCTTGTATCGATGCCACTAAATGCGCGGGTAACTGTTTGCTATCGCTAAAGATTATATTGAAGCTGTTTTGAGTTACGTTGTCGACTTATGCTATATCCGGTATTAAGAGTCACCTAACGATCTGTCGAAATTCTATATCAAAGTTTAACCAAAGCTTCAGTTAATTATTATAATAATATTATTTGTTTCGATGTTTCACATTGACTTCTAATACAGTTAAATTATAAATAAAACAATATCGAAAATATACAATATTATATTCTTATATTCGTCTAAGAAAAATCTCGAGTGTCGTGGTTATATCATAGTGTCTTTAATTTCCTCTCGTCCGTTGACGTTGCTTCGAGGAATACTTACGTCTCATTGCTAATCACACGTTTCGCTGAATTTTAGAAACGATCCACGTTATTATTGGTTATTTGATAAGTAACTGTATATTTGCCGGACACGGAATGACTTTTATAAGCGACAAAATGCCTTATCGCCGTGACACCAAATATCGTGCACGCGTGCTCTATACTTAAGATTAGCAGTTTTCGGTTCGTTTAATCAGTATTGATTGATTCGCTCTGATAAAATAAATATGATAAATCTAAATCGTGTTTCAAACTAACCAATAGTCAAATCGCAGTGGTAAGTTATGCAAATATCTGACAATGTAATTAGGAAATTATTTTAGTGTGATCGAAAAGTTTGTTTACCTATAAACTTTATTGGCGTAGTGCAATGTTGGCAAGAATAGGACTCGCCAGAGAAGCCAATATACAATACTTTTTCTTTTACCTGGAACGAATTCTTTAAATAACCTAATTAGGAGAAACTCTTTTAACGTAAACGCAAATAAATACAACAGAAGAGGTCGCTAAAGAACAGGATAGGTTCGATGCCTGCAGTCTGAATGTGTAATGGAACGATTTCGAAACGGTAAAATTTCTCCATTATACCTAGGTGCCATGTTTTTTCTCGAAAGGAAGCTTCGATTCGACACATTGGCCGCAAATAAAATATTAATTTATTTTATTGAAAAAGTATCGTATGAATGTAAAATTAGTCTAACCTTCGATTTATTGAACTTTGTATTACTTGAATATTCCAGATTATGAGACAATTTTTATCTCATGACACGCCTTTAGAGATAATAGTTGATAGCTTTTAATGATCCTATATAAAAGTGTTAGTAATAACAGTTCACCCCAATCGAAATTCCTGTGTCGATACAGATCTCTTCAATGTTAAACAGTTTCTGCAATTAGATCCTTCACATTACTGTATGTTGAAAGCCCCGACTTTTTATAAGGAAAACAAACGTGAGAAGGAAACCTGTTACTTCTAAAAGATCTCTGAAATATCGCCAACAGATTTGTGCGTATAATAAAACCGAACCTAGAAGAAATAAAATACAACAAAACTTGTCGAGTTTGAAACCAAAATTGATAACAGCGAATGGAACAAGATGTATTTATCATTCTGTGCTGCATTACGGAAAGCTCTTTTGATCTGCGGCGCAAACAACATTTACGACGTAAATATCATTATGAATGACTGATCACTAATAATTCGATAAATAGAAAATACCGGAAATTAAATTACTTTCGTCCACTCTAGCGATAACAGTATAATCGAACCCAAAATCAGAAATCTGTAACGTCATATTCAGATATAAATTAATTTATTCTACGAGAATGATACACGATATTATGTTACCGTATTTGCGTTCTTATATAATTTGATAATAGCAAAAATAAATATACAGTTCTATTTAAAAACATAAAATAATTCTAGCTTTATTTTTATTGAGCCATGTTACCTTTAAACGTGGTCTTAATTATTACGAGAATATAAAAATATACTATTTTTATATGTATCTCATATAATTCAACTTTTTTCGTCAGAAATTTTGTACCGAAGAAATATTTCCAGACTCGATTTAAGTAATCGAAATGTGCTCGCTTTAAAAGTTACATTAAAATTTCTTTATTACCATTTTTACATTTTTCATGCCAAATTAACAGTAAAGCAGATTCGCGAGCATAACAGAAAATCTTTTGAATTTAGTTAGTATTTTCATTTTTACATTAAAGAACTTTTTCACCAGGGTGTTCGGCCATCCCTGAGAAAAATTTTAATGGGAGATTCTAGAGATCAAAATAAGACGAAAATCAAGAATACCAATTTGTTGATTGAGGCTTCGTTAAAAAGTTATTAACAATTAAATTTGAAAATTTCTAATCGTTCTGGAAAAATTATTTTCGGCTGCGGAGGTCAATTAATATCATTTTTAGTGAACACACATATCATCGAAATCCTATCCACTTTCGAGAAAAAAAATCGGGTAGGTGCTGAAATTTTTCGGCGAAAAAAAAATTGTTCAAATCATTGTAAAAAAATTATTCTCGGATGTGGGGCTCAATTACAATAATTTTTGGTCGTTACACATACCCTCGAAATCCTACGCATTTTCGAGAAAAAAATTCCTTACCGAAAATCTAATCGGGTGCCCAAATTCGACGAAAAAGAAAATTTCAAATCGTTCTGGAAAAATTATTTTCGGTTGCGGGGGTCAATTACAATCACTTTTGGTGAATAGACATACCCCCGAAATCCTACCCACTTTCTAGAGAAAAATTCAAGAAGGTATGATATTTTTCGACGGAGAAAAGAAATTTCGAATCGTTTTGGAAAAATTATTTTCGGTTGAGGGGGTCAATTACAAGCATTTTTGATGAGTAGACATACCCCCGAAATCCTACCCACTTTCTAGAAAAAAATTCAAGAAGGTGTGATATTTTTCGACGGGAAAAAAAAATTTCAAATCGTTTTGGAAAAATTATTTTCGGTTGCAGGGGTCAATTACAATCATTTTTGGTGAGTAGACATACCACCGAAATTTTGCGCATTTTCGAGAAAAAAATTCAGTACGGGCGGAACTTTAAACGTTAATAACTTTTTAACGAAGCCTCCATCAACAAATTGGTATTCTTGATTTTCGTCTTATTTTGGCCTCCAGAATCTCCCATTAGGATTTTTCCCAAGGGTGGTCGAACACCCTGTATGTGCAAAGTTTTCGATCGATACGGTCGAATAGTTTTCGAAAACAAAGTCTCGAATTTCACCCAATGTTTGGAACTTGAAACTGTACGGACTCCCACGCTTTCAAATAAAATTGCGCCAGAAAACGTTTGCTCAACGATATCGATCTCCTTGAAGTTGTACGCGGCAAGGTAAGAAGACTCGAATGACCGTCTTCCGAAGCTAAACTCCAAACAACGCGAAACTGGACGCTTTCGTTTCTAAGTTAAGTAATATTTTATACACAGTTCCGATTCGTCGATCGACTTTGTTTCGATGTTTGATTTCGAACCGTCGTCGCGTATTCCCGGTGGAAAAGTTCCATTATCGACAAAATGATGGCAGTAAACGTACACGATGCAGCGAATAACTCAATTTGAAGTTTAGTCGCCCGACATTAGCGTTTTGCAGCACGTTATCGCAAGTTAGACCGAATCGTTTACAAAATATTACGACATATCGCATGCTGTTTCTATTTACTTCTATTCGACCAGTTATTGGATCCAATTACTCCGTTTATAAAGTATAGTTATTGGTAACGAGTCGGTTTGGTAACAATAAGGAAAAATAAAAGGACATGGGAGAAACAAAATTCGTTCATTGTCGATTTAGTTTAACAGGAAAAATTCGTTTACATTATCTTATTCGAGGACGAGAGATTTTCCAATATGGTTATTTAATAATTAATAATGTGTAAAATAAAATACTTTTTGGAATCTAGTAACTTATAAATATCGCGTAAACATTGTTTACAAGCACGATATACATTACACGTCGCTCGGTGAATCGTATTTTAGAGAGTAAATAGGTTATCGAGAATTAACTGTTTGACCTAATTCGACAAAAGATTACTTTAAATCGAAAGGGAAACAAGAGAATCACGAGTACACTTTTGTTATTATAAACTAATTCGAAGTCACACCTTTCGGTTACTGTTTAAAATACGGCTAAATACTGTCTAGTAACATTAAATGGAATTTAACGAACAACTTAATACCGTCGATATATTTGGATGTACCGATTTATCGTCTTAAAGATAAAATTTCGTGTTAATATTGGACTGGCCAAACATCTCGTGCAGATTTTTACGATACTCGTCTTCGGGAGGCTGCGAAAATCTTAAAACCGTACAATTGCTCGACAGTTAACATTCGATCGTACATTGTCGCGAAAAAGTTTGAGGATTGGAATGTTTTTTTTTTTTTTTGTTTTTACAATTCTCGGTAAGTCGGAAATTTGCTTGTCTGGATTATAATTAAGACCCGGCGAGCATTCGTAACGCATTGTCTTTGCCACCCTTGCACTCGTAATACCATTATTATACAGGGTGGTCCACGCAATTGTTTCAAGTCATAACTCCGTTATTATTGCGTTTACGAAAAAATGACAAAGGAGAAAGATAAACGGTTCAAAGAGCACTACATCTGTAGGTCTTTAAATTTTTTTTAGACGCAGCGATGCATGTCCAATTAACAATTGCATCATTTCTTTAAATAGAAATGAATATTTCTTTTTACACAGATCGATTCTTCTGTTCATTCCACGTATAAAACGATCAGGGTACCATGGCAAAAAAATTATTAGATCTCGAGATATTTTCAAAAAATGTCTTTATCGAAGAAGATACTCAAACACTTCGTGACTATGTTGTAAAGGTAAACACCCTTTCGACATCGTTATCATAACAGAAACTGATTTGTACGAGTAAGCGTTTCATCATTCAGTAGCAATTCACTTATCGTAACTCGAGTACGAGAACCAAGAATTTGAAAAAGTGAGGTTTCTAAAAAATAAGTATTGCAATAACGTTATCGCAACAAATACATCAATACGTTGGCCAGCCCGTTCACCTGATTCAAGTCCCCTTGACTTCTTCCCGTGGGGTTATTTGAAAGTTAGAATTTATTCAAATCCCATAGATTCTGTAGAGAATCTGAGAGAAAGAATCATACTGGAATGTGCAGCAATAACTGCAGATAATTTAAACGCAGTTACGCAAACAATAAAAAAACGTTATCAGAAATGTTTCGAACGTAATGGAGAAGCGTTTGAGCATCTTCTTCGATGAAGACATTTTTTGAAAATATCTCGAGATCTAATAATTTTTTTGCCATGGCACCTTAATCATTTTTTACGTGGAATGAACAGAAGAATCGATCTGTGTAAAAAGAAATATGCATATCTATTTAAAGAAATGATGCAATTGTTAATTGCACATGCACCGCTGCACCTAAAAAAAATTTAAAGGCCTACAGATGTAGTGCTCTTTGAACCGTTTATCTTACTCCTTTGTCATTTTTTCGTAAACGCAATAATAACGGAGTTATGACTTGAAACAATTGCGTGGACCACCCTGTATTCTCCGTCGAAGAACAATCACGATCCCGATATCAGACGTAACAGTTCGTGTTGCTTTTCCTATCGCACGTTTGCAAGAATTCGTTGAAATAATGACCATCCAAACACTTCTTCGGTGTCTTTTCACCGTTCATGCATTGGTAATATCGGTTGCAATCGTTCTCATCGGGAATCTTTACTTTCCCGTGCTCCGGACACTGGTTCTTCGGCGGCGCAACGTCCGTGCTGCTTGGAATCATCGATGAAGATTCCGTGGGTCTCAAAGTAGTCGTCGGTGTCTCCGTAGATCTTGTAGTAGTCCGCGTGGAAGGTTCCGTCGATCCAGTTCCAGGATTCGGTACGGGTCTCACGCAACGGATCTCCCTCGAATCGCGGCAAACTTGATTTACATGGTCGAACACCTCGCCGCTCGGGCAAGTCCGACGAATCTGTTCCCCGTTTCTGCAAAGGTAATATACCTCGCAGAGGCATTCGTGCGGCAATAGTACAGGTTCGTCGGAATCCTTGAACGGGCATTCGGTTACAGGCGAACGATCCGTGGTCTCCGTTTTGGGGTCCATCGTCGACGATATCGGCGTCGTGGATCGCGAACCGCAATCGACGTTCTCCCACCAAGTGCACATGCCTTTCACGGCGTCGAAATAAAGGCCGTATTTACATTCGCGGAGCTGTTTCGCGCCGTTCGCGCAACTGTAAAACAGATCGCACCTGGTCTCGTGGGGAAGCTGCGCGGCGCCGGTCGGTGGACATTTCGCTTCCGGCGTTGGGGTCGAGCCCGGATCGGTGTTGCACGACGCCTCGTCGGCCGGCACGCATCTTCTGCGTTTGCTGTCGAACAGCTGATCTGACGAGCAACGTTTCAACACTTTTTTACCGTCGGTGCACGCGTAATAATAGGAGCAGTTGTTCTCGTGCGGCAGAAGCACGATCTCGTCGGAATCCGCCGGCGGGCATTGATCCGTAAGTTTCGCGCAGATCACGTCGTTCGCGGGCCTGCACGACAACCGTACAGGATCGAACAACAGCCCGTCCTTGCAGTCCCTCGCGCGTTTCTTGCCATCGTCGCAGAAATAGTACGATTTGCAATTGTGCGGGTAAGGCCAGACGCATCCGTCGTCGACCGCCGCGCATTCCGGGTCCAGTTCGTTCCGACACGTTACGTTCCATCGCCAGTCGCAAACTTGTAACTCCCGGTTGAAGTACAGCCTGTAGCCAGCACTGTTCACCGGGCAGTTTTTTTCGTATTTGTCGCCCATGAAGCATTTGTAAAATTTCGAGCAGTCGGACTCGTGGGCGATGTGAACGGCATCCACGGGATCGGTTGGCGGGCAGGCCGTTGGAATTTTTACAGGTGAAACGACGACCGCCATCGTCGCGATGCCAGCTGCTATTAGAGGTAATACTGAAATAAAACGAATCGTATTAGGATTATCGTTGTACATCTTATACCGGTTATCGTGTACTCTCGTGATTCAAATTCTACAAAGTACGCGTCGATTGACTAGAAATATCGTTCGTATTACAAACGGATCAGATACAATATGATTTATTACCGCTATGATAATCGAGGGGACCGGTACTATCGTAAATCTGAAAACAAACAACGCGTTACGATCGTTCTGTTTTCGGAACGGAATAAAGAAAACAATGTTTCGAGGGAGTTAATGTAAAATTAAGGGCAAAAGTAAGGTGGACGGACGATGAAAATGAATAGAATCGTGATCACAGGTTTAAGCTTTACTCGACATTTATCCTTGATTTATCCTTTTTCACCATCTGTCCACTGACTTTTGTCCCTGACTGTATTGCTACGCAGTTATGTTTCGTAAGAAATACGTTGCGATAAAAAATACAAATGATCGAGGAGAACGAGATTATTTTTTACATTTTTGGAAAAATACTTCGACACATTCGATACGCGCAAATACACTGCAGCTGCCATTATTATTATAAAAAGTGTCAGGGCAATTACTTTCATTTGAAATTGTATGATTGTTGTCAACCGTTTGGGCAATCCGAGGGAAAAAGCTTTCGACGTAATAATTTATAATAACCTCGTCGATACGATACTTTACGTATTATTTACCATAGCTTGTCAGTCTAAAGAAGAAATTTCTGATTTCTCTCGATCCTGTGTCACGATTGTATGCTTTAAAGATTGAATTATTTTTATTATTAAAATCAAAATTATTCGTATCGATTCTTTCCGCCTACAAATAAAACACGTTCAGAGTACTTACCTTCCATGAGCACTGAGTTTGGAAAACAATGCACGTTATTGTTGATTATTTAATAGATACTGGAGATCTGAGTGCACAAAACGACTCTTATAAGCGAGAAATCTTATCACCAAATGCGTGCTGGGGTTATCATATCTAACCTGTATTTTTCGTATCGTAAGATACCCTCTTTGGTTTGTCTATGTTGACACTGTCACCCACGAATCATTTATTTGGAGTATATCTTAGATATAGTTCTATTACGAGACACTATCTATACTCATGGTTGAGGACGAGGAAGCAAATCTAAAAAAAAAATAAATATTTAGCATGCACCGATTCTTTCTAACAATACTAATACACAACGTTTCATAATTTGCTTCTAATGAAAGTTAAGTTAACGAAAATACCTACAAACCATACGATGTGCTTAGGAAACTGATAAGTAGGATGCGGATTTATGTTAATAGAATTAACAACACACTTCTCAACCCCTAAATATAATAATCCGTATCGTACTTTAAGTATTTCTTATATTTTTGCATATTAAGTGCATTCTGTAGTTTTCTGCGAATTAAAATTCCCCGTAAATATATAAACACCCACAATCCATCGATAAGATACTTGTTAATCAATTAATTTTGTCTCACTTCTTATCAATGATTGAGTATGTTGCATATTAAATCGTTGGATTATGCACTTCCTTCGAAGGTTCAAAAACTCTTTATTCTCTCTTTATTCCATGTGTAGTTCTTACCTTTACTTGATTTCATTCCAAATTAGACATATCGCTGCAAAAAAAAAAAACTGACTATTTATTACTTTCTTTTGTAAATTCTAAACGATGCTGAACGTTTACTTTGGAAATGTATATGGACTTTGTTAACACGAAATATTATTCGTGATAAATGTGTCTTAAAACAGGCCTCTGGCCAAATTCATCGCTTTTCGAATGGTCTAAACCTGAGTTTCGAGCTACCAGTGCAACCCCGACTGATTTCAAGGGCTGTCTGACCATAACGATTTAATCTACTAGCACGAACATGGTCGCGCCGTACGCGCATATTGTAACCACGTACTCGAGCGACCTAACTCGTTCTCTTATCGTTCGTCGATAAGGACGCGATTCACGAAAGAAAACATTTGCATACACGGTAACGTCGATCGATCATGCAGTTGCATTCGCCAAGCGTCTTTCGAATGCGGCACCGGTGACTCTGGTGTCGTTGCATCGGCGATGCACGATCTTCGTGTCGCGTCGCGCTCCCTCAAAAATAACGATCCAATGGTAAGCGTGTAAACAATGGCTGAACGGCGCCGGATTGGCGGCGCTGTCGCCAAGTCGGCTCGTTGGGGCCAATCAGAGGCCGGGTATATTGGCTTCAAGGGAATGTGCATCGGTCGTCTTTTCCCCCCCACTACCAGTGACGGCGGCACGGCTCATGTTCAGTAGACTCGGCCATTTCTCTTGCGAAGCGTAGCAACTCGTTCGGCTGCGACATTTTTTTCCCCCTGACGACCGTGCGGGTATTCCCGGAAACTTTGCAAAATAACGCGACGCAAAAGGATGATACACTCCGGGCGGACCAGGCTCGAGGTAAGTCAACGCATCATATGACAGTAAAGACGAGGCTGGCTGACTGTGGAAACGCGCGTCAAAGTCACCATACAGGGGGGGTCGTGCGTGTGTCCAATGTTGTCATTGCCGAGGCGAACAGCTGATCCGCTCCCCTGGCCACCGTGATGCCTGGCAACGATTTCTCGCCCGTATCTCGGCCTCCTGCCGCGACGACGATCCACGAAAGCCAACGGTGAACACGGTTTGGACGGTGTCTTGTCTCCGGGACAGTTATAAAGGCTTCTTACATTTTGATCGCTACCATTTCGCGTATCTCTCTCTCTCACTCTCTCTCTCGTTCTCTTTCCTTCTATCTGTGTCTCTATCGGTGCGCGGTCTCGCATGCTCTGTCTCTTTCTACGTCTACGGTCTCTGTTCCTCTGATCGACCAACCAACCAGCCAACTCCGTCCTTTGTTCTTTCATTCTTTGTTTCTGTCTGCCTTCCTTCGTTCTCTGTTCACGTTCCCTCGTCTCCGGTAGCGCACCGCCGTCGACGTCGTCGTCATCGTCATCGTTGCCGCTGTCATTGTCGTCGCCACGACACTGTATTGGAGCGTCCTCGGATCCCGTGCGTTGTCCTTCTCTCTTTGTTCGGTTCGTCGTCGCGTATCGTTACCGGACTACGGACTATGGTCTGGCGGTATCGTCGCGACGTTCGACGCGCAAGGTGCTGCTTCTATCGGTCCCTTGGACGGATCCGTGTACGTGCACGAACTCGTCCCGAGGAATCATCGACGTTGTCAACGAACTCCGCGTCTTTCGTTCCGTCTCCCTCGCTCTTTCATCTTTCTCTGCCTTGATTTATCTGTCCGTACACCTCTTACGCTCTCCGTCATCTCGCCTTTCTTCGTTTCTACGACTCTATCTGCCTCTGTCTTGTTTTCTCGTTCGGCGATCGTTACGCGCTATTAGAATGTCAATGAGCGTCGTCCTTCTCGCTGGGTTGTCAGTCGGAACGTATTCACGAAAATCGACTCTTTTTCGAGATCGTTTCATGTTTTTTCTTCACCTCCCCTGCTCTCCTCCCTTTCTGTCCGTCACCTGGCTTCTCTCCGCCGACCTGGCTCGCGCGTGGCTGCTTCGACGCGCACGGATCCTTATTCCGTGTCGAAGTAGCGTTTCGCGGTTCGACGAATCGGTAGCGTCGCGACGCCTCGTCGTAGGACATCGCCGCGCCGCGCCGTTACATTCTCCGAGTCGAGCGCGAACTCGCAGCTGATTTGGAGGGAAAACTAACTCGCCTCGCTGACCGAACCCAACGATTCTCAAACTGGGCTCGTCGAACGCGTAAGAGTCTGCGAGATTTCGGAAGAATAGAGAGAAGCATATGAAACCGTGCGATAAATTAACAGAAACCGATACGTCGTAAAACAAACCTCTGAAAAATTGCTTTCGGTGGCTGGAATTCCTTGTCGAATGTTACCAACCTAACCTCTTAACGCTTTTCTCGACCTAACCCGCCAAAAATGGTTAAATTTCTTTTTTTATCGAATTTCTTACTTGGCTAGGTTAAAAAACGTATTTTGTTCACTTCAATTGGCCTATCTCGAGCAACAAACTCATGTTTTAAACATAATAGAATGCAAATTGGAGCACAGAGCTATGAATAATATAAGTATTTTTATACGTGCAAAAAATAGATTTCCTTATTGACGTAGACTTATATTTAAATTAAGTTTGCATCTTAGTCCTTGTAAAATGTTCAACGATAAAAATACTGGCATTTCGTTCGTAGTAATTTGGAAAGAATCGCTTGACGCGTTACCATGTAAAACGGTATATTTATTGCTTGCATGTAACTAGTAAGTTAAAAATAATTAAAAATCTGGGGTGCATTGTTCATTGATTCTGAATCGCGTACAATTTGTTTTTCTGCCAAAAGAAATTTAAGCAACTTTTTATTAAAAAACTGTATATAACTTATAAAAAATATAAATGTATTATGCGTATAATAATTTTCTCTAATACATAGGGAACATGACAGTGAATCTGCACCGTTTTTCGAACTAAATTTACCCAAATAACGTTCGTTTTCTTATTTGAAAGGTGAATAAATGTGATTGATGAACGTTGCTAACAAGCGGTCTTCGTGCATGGATAATTTATCACAATTCAGCAACAATTTGTATTCGACGAATAGCACGATAATGAAGATGTCCGTGAAATGATGAAGTTTGAGAAACACTGGGTTAAGCAGTTCGCGGCCGCGTATAAACAGAAACGGCGCGCGCCGTGGATCGCGATCCACGATCCCGCGTTTTCCTCGCTATTCCGATGACTCTTTCCATTGGATAATTCCGCTCGATTTCCTCGAAGCACACGACGTTTAAAAAATTGCAACACGGGACACAAAATTTATTCTGCATTCGCAAGAGTAAAGAGCCAGCAACTTTCAAGCAAAACGTATAATATTTTTATTTTGTTACGAGCGATATACAGGGTGTTCGGCCACCCCTGGGAAAAATTTTAATTGGGAGATTCTGGAGGCCAAAATAAGTCGAAAATCAAGAATATCAATTTGTTGATCGAGGCTTCGTTAAAAAGTTATTAAAAAATTTCAAATCATTCTGAAAAAATTATTTTTGGTTGCGGAGGTCAATTACAATCATTTTTTATGAGTACACATACCCTCGAAATCTTACCCACTTTCGAGAAAAAAATTCGAGTAGATGTTGAAATTTTTCGGTGAAATTAAAAAATTTCAAATCGTTTTGGAAAAAATATTTTTCGTTGTGGGGGTCAATTACAAGCATTTTTGGTCAAAAGACATACCCCCGAAATCCTACGCAATTTGCAGAAAAAAATTCGAATAAGTGCTGAAGGTTTTGGGTGAAAAAAAAGAATTTCGAATCGTCTTGGAAAAATTATTTTTACTTACAGAGGTCAATTACAAGCATTTTTGGTGAATAGACTTACCCCAAAAATCTTGCCCATTTTCGAGAAAAAAATTCAGTACGCCTGGAACTTTAAACGTTAATAACTTCTTCACGAAACCTCCATCAACGAATTGGTATTCTTGGTTTTCGTCTTATTTTGGCCTCTAGAATCCGGCATTCAAATTTTTCCGAGGGGTGGCCGAACACCCTGTATATTATTCGGTGTAATGAAAACTAATCTTTTATCGAATGGTTGCAAAATGTTGACGAATAATTATCATGATTAGTTTTTGTAATTATAAGAGTTACCACAAAATCAATTACTGCCCAACTCTGCAAGTAACCTTGTTTCTAGTAAATAGTCTAACCTAACCTAACCCTTATGGATTCGTATTTCACTGCCTTCCGAAGATACATCGAGATGCCTGCGAATCAAATTACATAGCAGACGATCGTCTGTCAGCGTGTCGGATCGAAACGATAGTTACGTTCGAAATGACAGGATGCAATAACTTTGAAAAACCGTGCTTCGCGAGCAACAAGTTAACGCAATTCGAAAGGATATAAAACTCAGACTTGATTAACCAGTCGATTACGATCTGTCGGTCGATCGTGACGTGCTTTTTAATAGATCTATCATTTTCTCTGTATTACGATATTCTTAGCATCGTATTTTACTTGATTTCACTCAGGCTGTTACAAATTCTCATTTTCCTTCCTGTCAGTAGGCCTTTGAATGCATTCAGAAGTAGAATCGGTATTTCGAAACATGATTACATATTCAACTGCTGATAAGATTTATTTTTTGTATTTGGCGACTGTTTTATAACACGTTAAATTTGTTTATATAATTTCAAGAATCTTTCTAAAAAAATGCTAATCGCGCGACGCTGTTGTTATTTCATTAGAACTTATTTATTTAGTAAAATATGTAAACACGTTCGATGCAGGGAAGTTACGCGATCGTTAAATTTTAGAGAAGAGTACATTCCAAGAGGCACTCCGAGAAAGTTTGCCTGTCGAGTCGTGTCGCTGTTATTGTTGAATTTGAGGTTAGGTAATAACGATATGCAGCTGTGACTCGCTTTTGTACTAAACGTATACTTAATCTTGCTTGTATACGTTAATCTCCTCTCTCTATGTTCTTCATTTTCATAAAAGGTGGAGGTTGAAGATGATATCAAGATACGAATTTTGAAAGTATACAAGATCCGACAGGGACTAGTATTTTTCGATCGGCGCTGGATATTCGCGTATACATATAAAACGTATTTGTTTTTCTCGTACTTAATTTATTGCAAGGATTCGGTAGAGTACATAGTATAGCATAGAAAATAACGCTTCTAAACAGTAAGCTACCGTAGTTAGGCTGTTGTACATAAAAATGAGAAACTGAAAAATAGCATGCGGCTTGTACTTCGAAAAATATGTCGGGATTCTATTTTGAAACCGGATCATTTCCCAGGGCACGAATGATGTGACCGCATTCTAGCTCGGGACTCTCGCGAACATCGCACGCGACCATACATCTTGTTTAACGCTAAACGCGAAACGTAAACGTCGCCCCGATATTGCGTCGGTCCCTCGGAACACTGGGAGCTCGATCCTTCGGTCGCGTTTTATTCATAACGATCGCGATATCGAAAACGATGACGCGAATGACGATACTTCGCACCGTACCGATTTCCGAAACAAATTTTGTCAGAATCCAAACGATCGATTGCTCGATATTTCGAACACGAATACAACCGATAGGTTAGATTGTGACATTTGAAACGTTCGATCGAATTTGTTCGGTGTATGCTTCGTAACGCGCGCGATATTCGTTCTTTAATTTTTTTTTTTTGAAACATTCGAATTTTGTACGCTGGGGGGGGGGGGGCTTCTCCCTTGGAGCCAGTGAAGCGTGAAATACGACATGAAACACGATACGAGTTGGGATGCCGGCGACGATTGGTAGAAGAGACCATACCATGTCTTTTTTTCGCTTTCGCTCGCGTTTGCTGTTCTTTTCTTCGGTTGTCGACAAAAGATAAAGGCGACTCGGAGACTCGACGATATCAGTGTGTATAAATAACTGCTGGTGTCGAATTTCACCTTCCCTGTAAGAAAGATGAACCATAACCTCTGCAGCGGTGTTCATTTTAAAAATCGTTACTGTACACGAACGCGTTTCGGTGAATTTTTTCGGTTTTTTTGTGCATCATGAAAGACACTAGTGTGCCGTATGGTGATCCCAAGAAAGAATGTTCTATTTCAGGGTTAACTTAATTTCCCCTCGAACTTTGTAGACGCCATTTTATCGATTGTTTTGCAACGATCGTCCAGCGTAGAATCTTTCTTCGAAGAACTCGGTTATTCTCTCTTACGAAGGAGATAAAAATGTTGGCGAGAAATTAAACATAACTTACATCAACGAGGGTATACGTAAAGGGTCGATTCGATGGGCAGAACGATAGTGTAATTACTCGGTTCGAGGGCCGTTGTCGAAAAATCAACGCTACGAATCGCGAAGCTGCATCAATCCCGAAGCTGCGAAAGGGTATTTATAGAGAAGATCGATACCGAGGACCGCGTGTTGCGATTACTTTTTAAATACCCAGACCGCTGCCGTTCCATTTTTATTTTTTTTTTTTGTTTTTGCTTTTTTTCGAGTACTTTTGGTAATCCACGATAGAAACATTCTTTTAAATCTGCTCGTTCCAATTAACTTTTAATCAAATGTGAATCGCGAATCGATTGGTCGAAGTTCCGTCATGTTGAACGGTGGGGCGAATACATACATACATATTCCACCTATTTCGGGTCATCTTGACTAGTTTGTACTAAAAAAAATTTAATTAGGCATACATTAATCACTATTTATCGTAACATTGATTTAATAACGGTTAACGTATTTTATGCTATATTGTTCATAAACCATTGACTAAAAATACAAGATTTCTGAATTGTTATGAAAAAAAAATAATTTTTTTTCCGTATAATTATACGACACACAAAACATACGCTACGGCATATACAGGATGTTCGGCCATTCCTGGGTAAAATTTTAACGGGAGATTCTAGAGGCCAAAATAAGACGAAAATCAGGAGTATACATTTGTTGATTGAAGCTTCGTTAAAAAGTTATTAACAATTAAATTAAAAAATTTCAAATCGTTCTGGAAAAATTATTTTCGGTTGCGGGGGTCAATTACAATAATTTTTGGTGAATACACAAACCCTTGAAATCGTACTCACTTTCGAGAAAAAAAATCGAGAAGGTGTGAAATTTTTCGACGGAATAGAAAATTTCAAATCATTCTGGAAAAATTATTTTCGGTTGCGGGGGTTAATTACAATAATTTTTGGCGAATAGACATACCCACGAAATCCTGCGCATTTTCTAGAAAAAATTCAGTACTGGCGAAATTTTAAACGTTAATAACTTTTTAAGAAAGCCTCCATCAACAAATTGGTATTCTTGATTTTGGTCTTATTTTGGCCTCTAGAATCCCCTATTAAAATTTTTCCCAGGGTTGGCCGAACACCCTGTATAACATGCGCAAGTAGAGCTAATGTTACATGCATATCACATACACGCGCATGTACGCATATACGCTAAAGATAGTTTTATCATTTACATAACCATAGCGTTACTTACGATGATTGAAGACAGAAATACAATATATGATCATATACGTTCGATATAAAACCTTGGTGCCCATATTACCCCAAATACCAATGCACACGTTTCTTTGAGCCGGATAATTTTTACAGGACGTGGTTTTTTTATAGAATTCCCTATTACATAGAATAACCATTAAAGTGTACACGATCATTTGTTACTCTCGGTTGGAAAATACTTGATGGGTTGTTTCGTTATTTTGCATAAAATTGTGCTTGATGAGTAAATAAGCAAAAGTAACTGATTCCGTCCAAGGAACAGTGAAAGCAACGTATTCGTACCTTAAGCTTACAAAGAAATTGAGATTCTATGAACCAATACCGATAATAATATTACATAATCATTTTTGTGATACTTGAACCAACTACTTGTTACTTAAAAAAAAAAAACGAAAAATATGTAAAGATTGTTTTCTATGAAAGGATGAACAGTCGCTATTATGTTTAAACATAATGAACAAATATTAAACTCTTTTTTAAAAACTTCTTCTTCCACTGAAATATCATATTTTTTATATAATTTGTTATGCTATTTGCAACATATAGGCGAACGATTGGTGTTAACAAATTTTGTTGGGGTTGGTTTATAAATAATGTAAAATGGAATATAATAACGATGCAAACGATTATTGTGCACAAGAACGATTATGTATAATAGTTAATGAAAGATATGAACTAGATAGTTTTTTAATCGCATGGTTTCGGGTTCACTAATTGGATTATCGTATTGTAAAATCACACAGACACACGATGTAATCACAACAACCGACTGCATAACGCCAATTATTATCGTCTTGATTGAAGACGTGAGGTCGTATCGCAACAAGGGCACTCAGCTTATCATTCGCCGCGAAAGTGTCAAGTGTTCTTATGCGCATTTACGTGCTACAGATAATACAAATAAAAACTGTCATTACAGATGTGAATATTTTCTATTTTTTTCCTGGCAAGTTATTTCTTTTAACACGCAAGTTGCATGATTTTCTTAATTTCTTCTTGCAAAAGATTCTTGGTTTCTCATCACTATCTTAAGAAAAGATTCTTAATCACGAATATGGATTATAAAACGTATAGCATGAATTTTAAAATGTATAGAAAGTTAATATGTATAAAAAATGTATAAAAAAATTCAAGTAGGTGGAGAAATTTTTCGACAAAATTAAAAAATTTCTAATCGACCTGGAAAAATTATTTTAGGTTCCAGGGGTCAATTAGAATCATTTTTTGTCAATACACATACCCTCGAAATCCTACGCACATTCGAGAAAAAAATTCCTTACCGAAAATATAATGTGAGGCCAGATAATGGTCGCCCGAAATTTTATGCTTGTCTTTAAAACATCATAACTCCTGAACGGATTGGACGATTTTAATGTTTCAAACGGCAAACTACGCATATTTTGGCGAAGAATATGTAGAAATTCTAACAATATTCGAAAAGTTGTTCCTTAACCCTGTAAAATGAGAAGAAACCCCATAAAAATGGTCCAATTTTCAAACGGCCACAACTCCTACAATAGTGAATATACTTCAATGAAACTTTTTTCTGTAGTAGTGCTTGTGGGTGTCTACAAAAAAGTATTAGACAACTTTTCTGCAGGGCGTCAAACAAAATGATTAAAAATGAAAAACGAATTTTTAAGAAAAATCGACAGGTGCTGAAATTTGTCGACGAAAAAAAAGATTTCAAATCGATTTGAAAAAATTATTTTCGATTGGGGTGGTCAATTACAATAAGTTTTGGTCATTAGACATATCCTCGAAATCCTACTCATTTTTGAGAAAAAAATTCGAGAAGGTGTGAAATTTCTCGACAAAATTAAAACTTTCAAATCGATCTGGAAAAATTATTTTCGTTGGAGGGGGTCAATTACAATCACTTTTGGTGAATAGACATATCCCAGAAATCCTACGCATTTTCGAGAAAAAAATTCGAATAGGTGGAGAAATTTTTCGACAAAATTAAAAACTTTCAAATCGATCTGGAAAAATTATTTTCGATTAGGGGGGCCGATTACAATCACTTTTGGTGAATAAACATATCCCCGAAATCCTACGCACTTTCGAGAAAAAAATTCGTCTGTGTTCGCAGATTGGCGTTCTACAGGCGGAACTTTGAATATTAATAACTTTTTAACGAAGCCCCAATCAACAAATTAGTATTCTTGATTTTCGTCTTATTTTGGCCTCTAGAATCTCCTATTAAAATTTTTCCCTGGGTGGCCGAACACCCTGTATAATTTATGTAAATGATGAAGAAAATAATAGAAAATAGGAATGATAAGAATAAGATTCGCTAACTTTAAAGTCGTATTATTAAGAAAGTAGCAAAAAGTAGCAAAACTTACGATAACTGCATACTAAAATTGGTTCTTTTCGATTACCTGCATTTAAAATAATAAATTTCAGTCTATTGTTTTTATTTGAAAATAAAGCGCGTACCTTCAAGATTCATACAGTACAAAATGAAATCATTGCAATTTTCCCTAGGAGAAACATGAACAGCAAAAACAGATTTTCTAGAAGAATAGAAACGTCGAGTTCCCGGGATTTCTAGGGATAAATAATGTTTCGAACGAAGATCCTCAAGGATTTACAAACTTAATATAAAAAGTAAAAGATTTCTCGCGTGTAAATCGCCATTTTCGAACACTACTGTGCGTCGTAACGATAAGCTTGTAGATCGCGGAATCGTCGGAGTCGGTGTTGTCGTTGTTGGTAGAACTTTGAAAATCGGTCTCGTGACAGATGATGATGGTTGTTTTAGAAAAAAGTAAGTCGCGTGGGCGTAGAAAGAGGGGGCCATGTCGGGCAAGGGGTGCAACCGGTCGAGGAGTCCGGTGCAAGCGGTCAGTGGTGGAGGCAACAACATCCATCGTATCATCATCATCATCATCACCAACACCATCACCATTATCACCATCAGGCCGGTTATTACATTTCTCAATCGCACACTCACAACAATCCTGTCACTACCATGAAGCAGTCTTACATGCAGGTTGGTCGCCTTGTACTCTCACGCATGCCATTTTCTTTCTCGCTTCACGTTAACATGGAACTAAAACTTCTTTGCCGTTCGAGCGCCTTTTGCCTAACGCACAGTGGTTCGGAACACGAAAATCCTAGCCAAAATCCTGCAAAAATCGCTTCTCAACGATCCATACTCGTCCTGAGCAACAATCGCTAGCACAAACGTTACGTATTCTATTTTGCCCTCTGCGTCGTTCCAAACTGCACTTTTACGTATTTCGTTTAATTTGGTGTCAATTGTTCTTAATACGTTGACTGCCATCGTTTTCCACCGAGGAGCTAAAAAAATTAATTTTCAAGATCAGATATGACAAATGTTGGGTGGGTGTTGGTTCCCAATTGTCCAGAAACAAAATTTCGTTTTCGTGGACAATTGGTGGGGTTTGGCGTGGCAGTCGACGTGTTAAGGATGCATACTAAAAAGCCCCTTCCATTTATTATTCCGTTCACCGTGGATTCTTCACCCGTGGATGTAATTTATATTTTAAGACGTTTATTGCGCCGCGAATATTGCGTAGATCGCAACAAAGCGACGGCGACGTATCGAAGAAAATTTTATTCGATATTTGAGTATCACGCTTCTGGGCTGATAATTACTTTTCCATAGTTTCTACGGTAGTAAACATCAAAATACCATTAATATCGCGTGACAAAGTCGGTCACCAAATAAAAAAACAATATTGCAGTAAAATTCTTGCAAGTATAAGAGGGCGTCCGAAATTATTATCCTTCCGATGAAAGTGAACATCGACAAGATTTTATTATGGTATTAATGGCGAATTTATTGTAAAAGAATATTAAAAAGAGACTTTGTAAAAGCTCGAGATGAGTTAAGAAAAATCAGGTTAAATTGAGTTTTTGCAAAAACTATAAAATTGAAGCTGGAATATCGACCAACGGGGAAAAAATAATTTGATGTAAAGCAAATCGAATTTATAGAAAATTCATTGGTTTTCAATGTCTCTTCGTACATCCGGTGTCTGGATTCCAGACTTGCAATCCATGGGAACTTTCGACAGGATTTTTATTTTTTAAACCACTGTGCGACGGGAAACAGTTAACGTTTGCATTTTGTCTGCGCAATACTCGCAAATAAGGTGCAACACGTAGTGGGACGGGAAACAGTTTTCACCCAAATCTGACAAGTTTCCGAATCGACGATATTGGACTTGAAATTTTTGCAAGGAATCCTAGGTACTATATTTTTAATTTGTATTCGCGTAAGTCTGAAAACTATTTCTATATTTGGCCAGCTTTTAGAGATTTTGTTCCTTTGTGTAGCTTCTCTCCGTCGACCTAACAGAATTCATTTGAGTCTGTTTCTCTGTTTTTGGTTGCAGCTAACATGGGTGTTTCATGACGACGAGGCGCAGATTAATAAGAAACTGCCAAAAGAATTGTTGCTTAGGTACCGTAAGCAACGTACTTGTATTTTACTCCCATTGTTCCAACGATCTTTTTCAGTTTTCTTTTTCTTTTTTTACGCGACCAGGGAATCGCACGAAACGTAATCGCTCGTATTTTAACGAAACTTTATAGGATGATAGAGAATAATTTATCGACAGGTTGAAAGATATTTCATCGCGAAGAGCATAATTGCCCACTGGGTTATTTATACTTTTATGAATCTACTAATTCCGTCAATTGCGACGATAGTCGAACAATTTTATTTCTTTCTTTTTTATCGGGGACACGCAAACGTTGAAATATTTTTATCCGCGTTACGTTCTTGCCGGGTGTCGTTGCACACGAACAATTCAAGGCTCTTTTAATGAGTCATCGCTCAAGTCACTGCAATTATTTGTTTCCTTGTTACATTTGCCTAAGTGAACCGGTCAGGGTGTATATAATTTCGCGATAATGTGCACAATTTCGCGATAACCTAGTATGATTAGACGACAACTATTTATTTAGGTGTTCGTGCAACGGTTGTTTTCAAAGCCGCGAAATCACATTTGCCCTCTTCTCGCCCGAAATCATTGAAACTGAAAGTAGAAACTATTTATTGCCACGATATATCGGATACTATCAGAATCTAGGCTTAAAATGTCGGCGATAGATATCGATCAGGCGTGATATTTTAGGTTTCTATCCGCCTAGGAACTTTCCTTAAAATCCGAGGTTTACGGTCCGCGCGATTCCCCACTAATTATTTTGGCACAAACAGTATTTATTTTTTTTATTTTTTCTTTCGTGTGTTGTAACCCCAGTAGATTTTTTTAACGGGTCGATCGTCGAAATCGAGTAACACGATTGCCGTACAATTGATAGAATTCTCTCGTATCTGGACGTGGTGTCGCTATGCCGGTGCGCGCAAGTCAGCAAAGCCTGGAACGTGTTGGCGCTAGACGGATCCAATTGGCAGAGAATCGATCTCTTCGATTTTCAACGAGACGTGGAGGTAAATCGAACAATTAACGCGTTTGTTTATCGCTACGCGATGCGACAGGAAATTCGCGTTGCATGCAAGCTCGATGCAGGATACATTAAGGGAGTATTGCTGCCTAGACTATCATTTTTTTTTTTTAACGATAGATAGGCTGTTTTGTACTGAGATTTTAGAGATATAGTTTGTTCATCAGAAAGTATTAAAAATTGTGGGAGTTATTAAACTTCATATTCAATGGCTCTTCTGAAGAAGGTGCTCCACGATTCCAGCTGATCCGCTAATCTGAAACAAAGGGGGCTAAAGTATCTTCGTTGGGAAGGGTCTAGTTATAGCAGGAACTAGAGAGAAGCCAAAAGCCCGATAAATAAAGGAATGGCTCTTCAAATTTCGAATTTCTATTTCTTAACTTTTCCTCTGTCTTTGAGACATTGAAAAAAATAGTACAACTCAATATTTTTTGAAGCCTCTAAGTTTCAGCGGCAAAGGCGTGCTCGCTGAATATTCTCTCAAAATTTGAAGTAAATCGATCCGCTGGATCTTGAAATATCATGGAAACCAGTAAACAAGAAGTAAACAAGAATTTTTAATATTTCTTTATGAAAAAAATACTGTACGTACTTATAAGACAAAAATCTCAGAACAAAACAGCCTACCTATCATTTAAAAAAAATCACAAGTCCGAGAAAAAGACACTCTGAACAGCAATGCTCCTCTTACGAGGCAAAAATTATGTAGTCACTATCACGCTACGGTTTGACCGTTAATAGATTAAAATTATCTTTTTAAATTATAATGGAACCTTGATCATCGATATTTAAAAGATTGCTTTCTGAAACCGGATAACCGAATCCACAAATCGGTAACCCAAAGGTCTTCTTGCCCACTCCTCGCGAGAAGCTCGATGGAAACGGGAATTCCCTTAGCATTCGAGTCTCGTTTCTATCTCGAACATTCGTGATTGTCTCGAATTTCGGAGTTCCCGCGTGTAACCCGGGTCCTCGACCAGCCGCGGTTCTTAACAAGTCCACGGTCGTCTAACTAAACCTATTCCAACGCAGGGACCAGTTATAGAGAATATATCGAGACGATGCGGCGGCTTCCTGAGGCAGCTGTCCCTCAGGGGATGCCAGAGCATCGGGAATAATTCCATGCACACGTTGGCTCAGGCCTGTCCCAACATCGAGGAGCTGAATCTGAGCCAGTGCAAAAAGATCTCAGACGCCACCTGCGCGGCGCTCAGCAGCTGCTGCCCGAAACTCCAACGACTGAACTTGGACTCCTGCCCCGAGATAACGGACATCTCCCTGAAGGATATCTCGGACGGATGTCCTCTCCTCACTCACATCAACCTGTCCTGGTGCGAGTTACTTACCGACAACGGAGTCGAGGCGCTCGCGAGAGGCTGCCCGGAACTTCGGAGCTTTCTGTGCAAAGGCTGCCGTCAGCTGACGGACAGGGCCGTCAAATGTCTGGCTATTTACTGCCCCAATTTGGAGGCGATCAATCTACACGAATGCAGGGTACTTACAGACGAAATTCACGCGAGTTAGGGCTGGGGAAAGGGGTGGTACCACTGTGACGGTTGGAAATAAACGGCAGTTTTCAAGAATTTTTTTAGAGTAACCCTGGACATTTTTCTGATGAATGTTTAATGTTTTCCGAAAGTACATTTCTTGAACTACTTGTAAAAATTTTGTATAGTATTATTCATTATTATAGCCATAATAGGCACTAGAATAAGAGGCCTCCAACTTTAGTTAAAAACGGGTGGAAGTGTTTTCGATCCGTCACAGTGGTTTCCCCCCCTTAAATCTTTGCGCTCGTACGACTTTTCAACTAGCTGCTCGCCGCGATCCCGACAGGAAGGAACGTTTATTTTCGAACAGTATACGCAAATTGGTCTAATTCCCATTTAGTTAGGATTACCGAACCACGGTCGCCTAATGAGAAGTAACTTGTTATCGTCTTTGCTTCTGAGGATACGAAGAAACGTGATTTATTTGGTTCTGATTTACTTTTCCTTCCAATATGGCGCTAGAAATCATATCGTTTGATATACTTTAAGACACTGCGCAGGGTGTTCGGGCCACCTCAGGGAAAAATTTTATTATAAGATTCTAGAGATCAAAATAAGACGAAAATCAAGAATATCAATTTGTTGATTGAGGCTCCGTTAAAAAGTTATTAACAATTAAATTCAAAAATTTCAAATCGTTCTGGAAAAATTATTTTCGGCTGCGGAGGTCAATTAATATCATTTTTGGTGAACACACATACCATCGAAGTCCTATCTACTTTCGAGAAAAAAAATCGGGTAGGTGCTGAAATTTTTTAGCGAAAAAAAAATTTTTCAAATCGTTCTGGAAAAATTATTTTCGGTTGCGGGGATCAATTACAATAATTTTTGGTCATTAGACATACCCTCGAAATCCTACCCATTTTTGAGAAAAAAATTCGAGAAGGTGTGAAATTTGTCGACAAAATTAAAAAATTTCAAATCGTTCTGGAAAAATTATTTTCGGTTGCGGGGGTCAATTACAATAATTTTTGGTCATTAGACATACCCTCGAAATCCTACCCATTTTCGAGACAAAAATTCAGTACGGGCGGAACTTTAAACGTTAATAACTTTTTAACGAAGCCTCGACCAACAAATTGGTATTCTTAATTTTCGTCTTACTTTGGCCTCCAGAATCTCGCATTAAAATTTCTCCCCAAGATGGCCGAACAGTCTGTATAAAACTATGCAATTCTGCGTACGCTATGTAATTGTTTACTTCCCGAGAATTTTTCAACGCAAAGTCATAGATAATGTCTCTAGAAAGTTCAGAACTATATAAAAATACGTTCTATCATCCGCGACAATAGCGTGAGACAGTTTCTGTTAAACAGGCACACTACGCGTCTCAATAAAATGGCGGGTGGTTATAGTCCCTCTACGTAGTTATTGTTTATTGAGAAACATAGGTAGACACGTTCAGGAATTACTTTCTTGCGGGTCGATTATAGAGATTCGTCTTAATTCTAAGTACCGACAATAACAAAGTAGACACGCGAGCGCAAAGAGTTAACAGGTTGAGCGCCGCGATCTACACCCCAGAGTCTGTCACAATATTTGTCTTCAGCATCGCAGACTCTGAACACTTGCTGCGACGTTTGGTTAATATCAACGCGACCTTGCAACTTTCCAGCTATCCAGTTAGTCTTACTCGAAAAGTACTATTCGTGTTTGGTAGTCTAGGATTACTGGTACACGCGTTGTTAGTAATGCTCGCTCGAAAAACGGTCTGATGTGTTTGAATATACTCGTTCAGAGGGGCTGTCGAGTGTAAGTTAATCGAGGCGCTAAATCTGTCCTAAAGTATTTCTATGTAAAAGAGTTGGTTCACGAAAATTAGACTCATTGCAGAATATAACAGACGACGCGGTCAGAGAACTCAGCGAACAGTGTCCACGGCTGCACTACGTTTGCCTGTCGAATTGCCCCAATCTAACGGACTCGTCCCTGGTCACGCTGGCGCAACATTGTCCACTCCTCAGCGTCCTCGAGTGCGTTGCCTGCACACACTTCACCGACGCGGGCTTTCAGGCTCTCGCGAAAGTGAGTTCTCGATCCGTCTACAAACGCCACAATGTAAACAGCACTCTGTTCTACACCTTCCTTTCAACTTTTCAGAATTGCAGACTACTCGAGAAGATGGACTTGGAAGAGTGCCTTTTAATAACAGACGCCACCCTCATTCATCTGGCCATGGGCTGTCCCAGATTGGAGAAACTGGTGAGTTGATTCTTCTCAGATTTTACGTTAAAATTATGCCAATAATCAAAATACATGTAGCTAAAGAACTCGAGCACCTGAACACCCAAAGCACTTTGGTCGAATAAGTAAACAGCGACCTTAGTACCATGATTTTCCTGAATACTATCTTGACTCTCTAGATGAAAACGTTATTAATCTTTGGATCGTCGTAACTCCAAGAAAAGAAGTCATCCAGTAATCATCGTGAGGTTGTTTTAAAGATATAAATTTAATTGGAGATTCTTTCACACTAGGAAGCAAGTGAGAAAGTAAACACTAACAAATTTCATACCGATCTAAAACTACTATGGATTTATAGATTAACACCTACACTTTACGACGATTACTGTAAAATTAGATATAAGATTTTGTCGCCATTTTATTTCACTTTGTACAGTTAAAAGAAGCTTTTACTCTGTAAGGTATACAAAACAATTTTAAAAAAGATAAGATATGGATCTGATCTGTAGGACGTAGCAAAAGCAATGGACGAATTTCAAATTTCTATTAGCAACGAATGTACGATAAAATGGTAATAAGGTCCAACGTGTAGGCTAAACAGAGAACCATTTCGTTGTTTGGAGAAACACACAACGTGTATTCGATGTATAAACATATAAAATCTGCTATTATTATTCAAAGTTATTACTACTTTCGTTTGCATTTTTATGCTCGTCGTAAAATTATACAATCACGCAATAAAATTACCGGTATACAGTATTCGCGTAACTTCTGAACGTGTTTCGGAATGTGCTGCAAAGGTGCGATAATGTTCGTTAAGGAAAAGTTTCTTATTCTTAATTAATTTGATAAATGTGAAGTAACTGTGTTGTGTCACTTAAGATACATATTTTCTACAGTGCATCACATTATTTCTCATTGCTTTGCGATTATAGTCCGTGACGTTTTACGTTGAAATGCCCGTTAACCTGAAACGCTGATAGAATTACGGGACAATATTCGATACGAAATTGCCGCGATACGGACTGAATATTAAAACGAGTATCAACAAATTTCGCTCCTTATTTACGCGGCTGTACACGCCAGCTGTCCAAACAAAATGTTGCTTTACAAAAATGATATCTACATTTGTTATTGAGAAATATTTTCTTGATATAAATCTTATTTACTTCGGTAGTTGCATAATTATAATTTAAAATTCATTGCCTCGGAGAAATAATGCAAACAAAATGAGTCGGAGTATTTGTTGAGAACATGAATACCCAAACCTTGAATATCGACTGGTGAAGGTTTGGTCCAACTGGTCCTCGTTTGTACGGCGATATAAACTGATAATATAAACATAACTGATAAGTTCGGTGCAGACGGTACGATATGTTTTTTTTTGTTTTTCTTATCAAAGTTCATTGTATATCCGTAGATCTGGAAAGTATAGAAGTTAATCTCGTAAACCGATGCTTTGTAAAAAAACAGAGTCTGTCGCACTGCGAACTGATCACCGACGAAGGCATCCGACAGTTGGCTCTCTCGCCATGTGCGGCGGAACATCTGGCGGTGCTGGAACTGGATAACTGCCCCCTCATCACGGATGCCAGCCTCGATCACCTTTTACAGGCCTGCCACAATCTCGAGCGCATTGAGCTGTACGACTGTCAACTGATCACCAGAGCTGGCATACGTAGACTCAGAGTACTGTCTCATTGATTCTTAATTATTACCGCTCTTCTACGGTGAAGTCAACGAAACAACGAACTTGAATATCTACAGAGCCAGGAACGAGAAACTTTGCTGTCTTTGTCATTTCTAGCCAGGGACTTGTAACTGAAATTAATACCGATATTTTTCCATAATTCCTTTACTTGATATAATCTGTAAGCAACTTACATACTCTTATACATAGACACAATGTGTATAAAGTTTATAAAAATTAAATAGAAATAAACTTTGCCACAAAGGGAACACGTGTATGAGAATATGCACTGGAAGTAATATCGACATTTTTATATTTCTTTTTCTGTGTGTATAAGAGTAAGTGTAACTGGAAATTAGTGATGTAATAACGGTATTTTGCGTTATAAGCCCCTGGTTTTTTTTATTTGTCTGAAAAAGATTTATTATTGCTATCATTTATGAATACGAATGGGATTTAATGCCTAAGCATGCTCGTTCCTGTCGTTGCTTTTATTGCTTACTGTCAAACTAGCATAACAAATCATTGAAGAAAATAGTAAAATGGGCCAAAGTTTCCCCCAGATGGAGACCTCCCAAGTTGATTCTTTCGTTGACCCCACCATAAGTTTCTCCATCCTCCACAAAGTGATTCTTAACACTTTAACGCCCGCTTGTTTTAGCCAACGCTAAATTCTGAGAGCCGCGTTCAACCAGGGATTGTAACCGTTGTCTAACCCGAGTGAAAAAACTGGGTTACCAATGTAAGGTTAGTGTAACCCGTAGTAATCACGAACCGACATTCCCAGATAGTATACAGAACAGAGTAACCTGTTCAGAACCGATTCCAAGCGATATTATTAAATATTAAGTATATTTTGAATTAACGTACATTATAATATAACGTGTATACACGGTATAATCGCTGCATAAAATGAGGTTTCAAAGAAGTTATTTTACATATTTGGGGAATTATTTACAAGGAAGACTACATGCATTCTCACTGTCACTGATTCTAGCAAAGAACATCGGCGAAGCGTCCCTCTTCAATTTTGATCAAATTTGTAGGTTTCCTGAGCGGCTAAAATAAAGGATATATTCAAAAGATATGTATATCGAATGGTTTTGAGATTTGGATCAGAACACTGTAACTTTCAATGCTAGCTTCGCCCCATAAATTTGAGTTTTATGTATTCTTTATTTTACAAACTTGGAATGTTTCATGAAATTCAAAAGAGGAAGGAAGCACTTCTCGGATGTTCCTTGTACGTCACCGATTTGATTGTCCCGACCTACTTCTTACCTTCTTTGTTTTACAAGATTTACCAACACACTGCGCATGTTACACTCACGCGTACACACATCTGAGCTGGATTTTATGCATCCTCTCCTACACGTAACTAATTGATTTAATTTATTATTGCTATCGTAATATCGCCTAAAATATTGGAAGTCGACCTTGATCGTTGATTGTGTAATATAAATTTCAAAGTGCAAAATATTTATCCTGTTGACGCTTGCAAGGAACAGCGATAAACATAAGAAACGAAAACAACGGCTATTTGATAAATAGCAGGTATTAATGCACTGTTATAATCCATTCTAGGAGCAAGTTAACCGTGTTATCGCGTGTCATCGTTTAAAAATAACTTATTTGGGTTAATGTACACCATTAACGGCCGAATCTGGTTTTGATTACGGTTACAATCCCTGCGTTCAACTATATAAAACTTAACGCCAATACCCGGGGGAATTTTATCATTAACAAAAAGCATAAAAACGAGACACTTCATTTTTAAACGATGTGTTCTCAGAGGCCTTTTATTTAAATTAGATTACAGTGTGTCCATTCTACTTAGAAACTTATACCTCAAAAACTATGCATTATACAGGAAGTTGCATCAACTTTGATACCTCGTGTCTCGAAATTAAAAATATTTAATAAAATTATAAAATATTGTAGAGTTCAATTTAAAAAATTAAATGTTATCTTCACGGAGCTGTGTCTAAAACATTTAACGATATGCAACATTTGTTTAAAACATTTTTCCGTTTCGTGCATAGGTTTTGAAATATTCACACGTTTCTAGTTACAATGGACATACTATTGTATAGTAATAAAAGTAGTAGTATGTCAACGGCTCCCAGCTTCTGGAAATAAAAATACATAGTAACACGTTATCCGGTGCCAAGGTGTTAAGTACCATTTTGTGCATCTTTGCTTCTCGTATTAACCTTGTGACGACTGCGGTTACGTCACCGAATTATATTATACATTAGTCATAATCATTACCTTAGCTTTTCTATAACCCAATTTTTCAAAGCGTTTCATAAAAGTTATAATTAATATATGAAAAATACTGCTAATTCAAGGTAAATATTAAATTCATTGTTTAAAAAAAATATATATTTTAAGATCAATGCGTATGGTTAAAAAGTAAATTGAGAAAAAAAAAGAACTGTTCGTCCAGGATACGCTATTACAAGGCAGGTACAGTCCTCAGCTGACTTGAAGTCACACGTAAGGCATGCGGGAGAAGTAGAAGGGATACACCGTATTCCCACGCATACGTTGATCTCTAGCTCGCTATTCGTCGCGGCAGTTACACACACACGTGTGGACTGCCTTAGAGCAAGGGAGCGAGATAGATAAATGGGCGGTCCGACTCCCTTTGCCCCTCTACCGTCCCGCGAGACTTCCAGTCAGCGGACCACTGTACCTCGTCAACTTTGCCACATTCGACATCGACGCGTGCAGTCATATTTTATCAAAGATCGGTAATAACTTCAACGTTAAATATCTCGAAAGCTACAAGCCGTCTGCTCCCAAAACCGTTTGTCAAGCTCTACCCCGGGGGCCTCTTGTAAAGGATAAGTGATCCGTTCGAACGTGCCCGTGTGTTTCGCTTGTTTCGTACCGCTGACGATGCGTTTGTCGATTTGTTTCAGACGCATTTGCCCAACATCAAGGTCCATGCATACTTCGCGCCCGTGACACCGCCGCCAAGCGCGGGTGTGTCTCGGCAACGATACTGCCGGTGCTGCGTCGTTCTGTGATTCCGCATTCAAGTGACTCTGATGTAAATCGTCCGACGTACCACGCTAACGGTGGACATTGTTTCGGTGATCGCCGCGCTGTCGCGGGCGATCGTGGGACCCCTCTTCTCTTCTCTGGTTCGCCAGGCGGCGACACCACGGCTGGCCGCCTGCGTCGTCGACAGTGAGGAGAACGAGCCCTCGTCGTGAATAATCGCGAATCCTTCGAGAAATACGTTCGAGCTGCACACGCAAAATGTGTACAGTACGCGTTACCGTCACCTTACATACACACAGACACACACAGCCTCAGCCGCTACTGCAATCAACTACTATTATCGCTGCTACTCTACCACTAGCCCAGTACCTATATTCGCCGCTGTTGAACACTGTTTTCGCGGTTGCGTTTGTCGTTTCTACTCGGAGAACCTATCCGTTGTTATCGACGGCGCAAACGATTTACGCGGCGCCGTCGTCCATTGTTCGCGCGACGCGGCGGAGGTTCCGCCGAAAGGAAAGAAACTCCCGGCGATCGCTGGTGATCGTTTCTGTCTCTCCACTCGTTACAACCGACACGCCGACGACGACGAACACGCGCATAGCCGAGCCGTCGTGCGCGCATCCCGTCGATCGGACGCCCGTATTTCTCGCGGTTGGATGTTCCACGTGAAACGAAAACAAAGGGGGAAAAAAAAAAAGATAAGCATATGTATATACATATATATATATATATTTTTTTAGTACGACGCATCCTCTCTTCTGCTATAGACGCTATTATCGAAGAGAAACGCGCGATCCGTTCCGAACGATGATGGGCGTCACGCACACGTCCAACGTCGTCAGACTTTTCGAACACAAGGTGTTCGATAATCCCGTTCGAACGTATTTCGAGTCACGTAGGCAACCTCGGGTTTCTAATCGAAGATTCACACGCGTGGTGTGCTCGCGCGTCCGAGCGTGTTCCTGTAGCAGTTTCTCAACGAACACTGCCTGTTATAATGTTATTGATATAAAGAAAGAGAAAACGCAAAAAAAAAGAAAAAAAAAACACAAAACAAAATATATATATAGAGAGGACACGAGCGTCGTAGGAAACCGCAGATTTTTTGAATCTCGTCGTGAAACCGTAGATACTGTCGTTCGTTAGAATACATTATACACCGTGTCTCCGACAAGAAGAAGAACAAAACGTTTCCTGTCCGCGTTCTGTTCACGATCACGCGCGCGACCTGCCGAGCGGCGCCTACGGGGTTTCTTTCCTTTCGCGCGTCACGCGCGTCGCGAACAACATACTTAACGAGAATAGAAGCGGGACGCTGATTCAAATTCAGCGCCGGCTCTCGACTTCTCGAAGCAAACAGAGAGAGAGAGAGAGAGAGAGAGAGAGAGAGAAAAAGAAAGAATGAGTGAGAGAGGAGAGAAAGAGAGAGAGGACAGGGACGCTACCAAAGTGTCTGTCGTCTTCGAAACTCGCGTTTAGTTGCTGCTGGCGTTTAGGCGGTGGCACGTTTCAGATGATGCATTTTACAACGATTCGCGGACAAAGATACGGTTCTGCTCGTGAATCAAGACCCCACCCCCTCGCCCCCCTCCATAAAAAATGGAACCGTATTTCTCCTCGATGACCCGACATCTATTTATCTTTCTGCCTACTTTGTATTTCGTTTGTTTCTTTTCCCGTTGTTTTTTTTTTCCTTTCTTTTTTTTTCTTTTTTTTTAACTTGTCATGGACTAGGAGAGCACAGACTGACAAAACGAATCAAAGCGTTAATGCGTTGAACCGATTCACTTTGGCCCAGCGACCGACTCGCTGGCCTCTCTTTTACTTTTTAAGCCTAGGTTACGGAATGGTGGCGGTACGAGGATCGCGAACGCGCCCGTAAACGCGAATCGACGGATCTTTGGGAGCTCGTTACGCGCACGGGACTTCGTGTCACTCCACGATTGAGGTGACTGGCGCGTCGTCGACGATACGACGTGGAAATTCATTCGCTACCCGACCCCCCCTCGCCATGAGTGTGGATACACGCGATGCACAAAGGAAAGGTATAATGAAAAGGGAAACGTTTCACGATACAGACACTCGGAGCCTCCTTTCTGTCGAAACGCAATATCACCACGACGCGAGGCTCGTTCGGAAAGCGTTAACGCGTAAAACTAAATTCCAAAAGTGGCTATACTTGACGACAGGAAATAACAGTCGCTCGTGGTTATTATTCCTACTGAAAATTTTTAATCTTTACATTGGAACTTACTATAAATGTACCCCATGTTACAAAGCAGCTGGAATCTAGTGCTAAAGTAACTGTACCAGTAGCTGACGATTCAATAATATTTCCTCGAATCTGAAACTAGACAATATGTGAGATTTTTGTTGAGGAAAGCGCGCAACACGTTACACTTAAATTTCCTGTGTTAAATTATTTACTCTAATAATATGAATTACTATGCTTAATTTTACCAGGCGCGTGATGTATAATCAATCTTCTTACGCCATTAGAGCAATATTGAAACCATTGAAAAACAAACGGTCCATTTTGGTGAATAATTGCAATGCAGAAAATATTTCAGAAGTGAAATTGAAAATGTCACCTATTGTTACAGAGTCAATTATTGGTACCTTTATTTTAATTAGCCATGATTTCAGCATATTTGTATAATATGAACAACAAGTGGCTGAACGATACAGTAGGGGTAATGACCGTGGAGACGATTATTTCTTGTCCCGTTTATAATAAGAGTGAACTGCACGATATTGAGGTGAATAATTTGTCCCATACACAATAATATCTATATTCACCAGTATTAAACAAAATTTCATGCGAAACAGTTATATTTGAAGCTTTGTATTTTCTATTTTATTATTTATGCAACCCTCTATTGCATAGATAATTGCATAATGTGTTCTCGATCCAGAATTCAAAAAAGAACCACTGTTAAGTTTACTCAAGAAATTTCATAGAATCTACGCATAATTTCTTTTTTGGAAATTAGAGTATGGAAATTAAAATAAAATCCATGGAATGGCGGATTAGTGATACACTAGTGATACACGGTGCAAATACACGTTCATTGTATGCAAATCGGTTCACCTATCGTGCAGTCCTCTTGCAAGAGTTTGCAATAAACAAGAATTTTACGACACTCGAGAAAAAGAAATACCAACTAAGAATCTTCGACTGTGGGAAAGTTCTCATGACAGAACGTTCGTTCGGGTTCGTGATCAATGTGCGATTTATTTTCACTGAAGTGAACCATGTCGGCTATACATGCAGGGTGTCCCATTTATCACAAACACGTCTCTAAGAATGACCCTGACATTTGTTTAAATTACAACGTGAAAGGTAGAAGTATTTAATAGCTCGATATTGTGCGTATTATATTCTGGTATTATTACAACAGCAATTCTATTCAAATGTTCACAAGTATAAAGGTGTATTCGTAGTGAGAGTTTTAAGGATTAGAAATGTATTTTTTATTTAACAAAATTATTTTAATAATCACACCTAGAGTCTTGATTGTTAGGCCTCGATTCAGTCAGCTTGCTAGGGTTTACATTGTACAGGGTGTTCGTCCAACACTGGGAAAAATTTTAAAGGAAGATTCTAGAGGCCAAAATAAGACGAAAATCAAGAATACTAATTTGTTGATCGAGGCTTCGTCAAAAAGTTATTAACATTTAAAGTTTCGCGCGTACTGAATTTTTTTCTAGAAAATGGGTAGGATTTTGGGAGTAAGTCTATTCACCAAAAATTATTGTAATTGACCCCCACAACCGAAAATAATTTTTCCAAAACGATTTGAAACTTTTTAATTTTGTCGACAAATTTCACACCTTCTCGAATTTTTTTCTCAAAAATGGGTAGGATTTCGAGGGTATGTCTAATGACCAAAAATTATTGTAATTGACCCCTGCAACCGAAAATAATTTTTCCAAGAATGATTTGAAATTTTTTAATAACTTTTTAAAGAAGCCTGAATCGACAAATTGGTATTCTTGATTTTTGTCCTATTTTGGCCTCTAGAATCTCCCATTAAAATTTTTCCCAAGGTTAGCCGAACACCCTCTATATTTTTTATCGTATAGTGCCATAGTAGGCGTCGGTGGCAACGGAGACTTTTAATGATAATTATGATAAATGGCATATCCTGTATACACATACATACATACATGTATATAAATATATATATATATATTTTTTGTTGTCGTAGCCAGGTTACACGACGAGGAAGGGCATAAAACTTTTATTTTAAACGGTCCATCCCGAAGTGCAATAGTCGCGACGCACTCTATTTCTATATCCTTCCCGTTGTTTCGACGATTTCGCGAAAGCTGGCCATGCGCGAAACGATGACCACGGCGACGAGTCGCGTCGAAAAGAAAAAAGTATCGATCGTTAATCCTTTGCTAGCGTGTAAGAACGTACACCGCGTATATTTAAAATGCAGTACATATATAGCGTGAAAACGGAATACCGGACGAAGCAACTAGACACATGCGTACAGTTACTCCCACTCGTATTCGTACACTATGATGGTGGTTCGCTATAAATGAAAAGAAAGATTGTTCCTTACGAATCGAAATGATGTTTTTGAAACTGGTACAAGTCCATTTTTTCCATACATTGTTTGAGCAAATTAAAAACAAAACTTGTCAACGGTCATCGGTTTTGTAATTGAATAGAAATAATACATAAGAAACAAGTTTCTTTTCATTTGTAACGAATCACTATTATAGCGTGCGAATATGAGTAACAGTAACTATATATACATACATATATACATACATATGTATATATATGTGTATATATATATATATACTAAAAAGAAAAAAAAAGAAAAAATAAATATATAGATAAGATATGTTTTATACGCTACATGTCATCTCTAGAGGAGTAATGTGATCATCGTAACGTGTCATTTCGAAGTCGAGTTTTGTTCTAGCGAATAGACAATGCTCGTTTACGTGCACGATCGTAATTAAGCGATGCGAAACGGCAAACAGAAGAAGGACGAACGAATAAACGTGTACAGGCGAATGAAAACTGTTGTTTCGTTCAGAGTTGGGCATTAATCGACTAATTCCTAACTAATAAATCTCTCGAGTTGAAAATATCGCATATTTTTCGTCCGCGCGTTTAAAGCATTCAACTATTACGAAACGTACTCCTGACAGATCGGGTAACTGAGTGAGCAGCATAATTTGGCACAGTTTCGAAGGCTTTAACGTGCAACGTACAGTTTTATCGTTTACATAACGGATACGTTCTTATAACACTGTGCCAAATTCTACTGAACCTTGCCGAAATTTTGTTATTTTGTTATCGTGAACGATTTACGATTGATTTAATTCGTGGATCGTTGTGTCGATTAAAATTTGCCCAGCTCTTCCTTCCAAAGTTCTGGTCGTTCGTTTTTACGCGAGAATCGCTTACCGCGGCTGTCGCCAATCGTTCGAACGAGCTTGGCCGAGAATATTAAGTCAATCGCAGTGCCTGAACCGTCGCAAAAATTGTAATATACGCGTAGTCGAAATTTAACACGGGTCGCCGCCGTGCAGGGAAACGTACAAGATTTCGATAAAAACACACAAAGGACTCTCATTCGCTAGTCGTTGGGTTACACCCACATCGAACGCAGGATGACGCACCGCAGTTATTTTGTAAAAAGAATTTTATTTCTGAATAACAAATAAAAAATTTTTATTTCGTTCTTAAATTAGTTTCTGTTTACGTTGCGTTTGCAAATCTATTCGTACGTTAAAATCCACCGATGGGTTTTCCGAGTCGACATCCAGACAAGGGAAGTAAAATGGCTAATTTACGAATCTGAAATTTTTATTTGTTGATTTAATTTTTCCAGCCTCGCGCTACGTCATCGTGCGCTCAATGCGCGTATAGCTTCAGGATCCTCGAGTGTCTGGCTGAAAGGGAAGCCTAGTCTCGTCGAACGAGCGACAGCCATGCGTCCACGAGCGATCAACAATTGTTTAACGACGAGCATTCGATGCTCCAACGAGACGATCGGAGCATCGAATCCCTCCGAACCACTTTCGACGCTTAGAGCAAATCTAGAAATGGACTCGAAGGCACAAAAGAGCGTCCAGGCGCGGTCGAAAAGCTGAAACACGACACAGTACAAGTATAATACGAAGTCTGTGTTACGATTGTCTTTTGTGAACGTTTTTTCGCGTAACTGGAGGATCGATTGCCAGTCGAAAGATTTTATTAACGATTCGCGACTAATTTAGCGACACTTGGGTCATTACTTGGACTCTCAGGAGCTTACCAGCTTCGAATAATGTTCATGGAACAATTCGAAGCTTTCGTCGTATCGATGATTACGGCATTGTAACGAAGATCGTCGAGCGAATCGAGTGTCTTTCGAACGAGGAAACGTTCTTCGCGTCTTGAACGGAGGCTCGAAAATACATATAGGCGGTTTCGATGACCGCTCGAGTGATTTTAACGAGCGTTCGATTGTGTCTGTCCACCGTGTGCGGGGAACGCGCTTAGGCGTTTAAACGACACGATCAACGGAGCCATTGCTCGTCCGTTCCGCACACGGCGCGGAGAGGTTTTAACATTTTTAAAATTTTAAGAGCGTAGCATTTTTAAAACGTTCAACGCGCGGTGTCCGCTTGGCATCGACAACGTTTTAACGTCGATCTACTTGCGTATAATATATTTTACTAAATTCCCCGTTTCTCTTACGTTGAAATAGAGACTCGTAAATCTCGACGCGGCGAGACTGCTAAATTAACCCTGGATATTTGTAAACCGTTCGTTCCAGAATTGGAGAAACAATAGGAAATGGAATTTGTATGCCCATAGCTGTTGTGGAAATGTTGTTCGTTAGATCGATGCACACGACACGTTGTTTACGAAATCAAACGTAATACGTAGAATTTCTATGCAATTTTTTACATTTTCCCGACAAACTGTCTACTAACTTCGACTGCCATTGTTTACGACTTTCCTCTGGACGCAATTTTCAACGAAAACGAGAACGATGCCACTGGGTTATGTATTTTTGAAAATCGACGTTTAAAACTCCTCGCGTTGGTAGATTGATTTTATTCGTTCGTACGAGCGTTCAGAGTGTTTCTGTTGCGCGGCAGAAAGTCTTAAATCCAAAAGCCCGAGTATCGATTTTGAAACTGAATGTCACGATAGTGGAGAAAAGTTCGATATTTGACAAGAGTAACGACATTTCGTGTGCACCAATTTATTGTAGTTAATTCGCTGATAATCGATTGTTAAAAAATCGTCAAAGAACGCCGACGATTGCTTCTTTAACCCCCGAAACTGCGTAGCGCAATTGTAATATCGTAAAGTATTGTGGAACACACCGTATTATGCGTGCTTTATTTTCCACGGTTATCTGTAGATGGCACCGAATGAACTTGATATATATAATTGTGTTTATAATTATATGATAATTTGATATTTATCATTACGTTTATAATTGCGTAAACGTGATAATAAATATGTAAGGGTTACATCTTCAGCGTCAAAGCGACGCTCCCAAGGGGTCAATGATCGATTATCAACGCCCGACGAGGTCAGTGAATCGGCGTAATCGTTATTGTGTCGAATATGATAGAAAATGCCGTCAGTCCCGTTATGTTAAAATCTACGAGACGCCAAGAGCCTGTCAAAGAAAAAGTCGCGACTGATTTTGTCGCATACGCATTGGAGACTACATGTAAAAGAAAAAAAAAACCGGAAAAACAATCGTCGATAAATATGACACCGTACGGGAGGGAAACAATCGTTCACCGGATCGCAGTGTTTGTACCGCGACACATAAATAAAAAAGAGAGAAGGGGGTTGACGAAGCGAAAGCGAGGGCGATGATAACGAAGCTTTGAGGCCGAGTGATCGAGCAAGTGTTTGGCTGTGCAGTAGAATAGGAAAGAGACAGAAAAAAGAACGATAGAGGGAGAACGTGAGTTAGTGAGAGTATGAGCGAAAAAGAGGGTGTGAAAGAGAAACAAAGATTCAGATGTTAATCGAAGCCAGCGAAAGTACATACATACACACAGACACACATACGTATTCGGGTTATGCGTTTCGCTGCATGTATGCACTGATCGCGCGACACACTTTTATTCTCGTTTCGAATGCATCCGGCTGTTTTTGAATTTGTTTTCTTCGTTCGTTTGTTTGTTTTTTTTTTTCTTCCTCGAAAGGCGAAGGAAAAAAAAAAGGGGCGAAAATTCAATTCGATTCGATATAGAAGAATATATTCCCGTCGATCGAGAGTCGTGAACTCGAAAACTTAATAAAAGCGTGCAACACACCGATGGTCTACGCGTGTCGGCCTACACGTGCATCCCTGGATCCGCGACGATCTTCTCCGACGATCGGGAGAGGACGTCGCCGTTAAAGGGGACGCAAAATATCGCACAGATCGGTTCGCATACGAATACTGTGGCTGATTACATTGACAATTTCGCTGCTTCGACAAGCTGCAGTCTACCATGTATATATTTTCATTAATGTATGTATAATAAAAAATATATTCGAGACAACGATCTGCTCTGTGTTTAGTGCGTGCTCTGCCGTTCTACGTGGACTTGAGATCGGAGACATCGATCTTGGGATCGATCGAACATTCGTGTTCCGGAGAATATTTTTGGCTTCTGAACAATATATATATATATATGTATATACACGTATATATATATATATATATATATTTGTAACGACGTGTTTCTCCTAGAAATAAACCTTAACGAGGAATCTCCCCATAAACTTCTTTGTATTGTGTAATAAACGGCACCTAATCGCGTACTACCTTTCTCGCCGTAAGGTTCTGTGTTGATGTCAATAAATTTTCAATGATTTTTAAGTCGTCCACCCCGTCTCGAATTTCATTCAACCGTGTTACCATAGAGTCTGTGGTAAGCTTGTCGTAGACGAGCCGACTGAGTGTTATGGCTCAAACTCGTTACTATAATGAAATAAGTATTTTGTTATTTTGATATGACATTTGTTTATATTATTTTTAACAGCTGATAGTCTGGAAACATACGCAGTAAAATAATTGTTGTTAATTCAAAACATTGAATTCGTTTACTGTAAACATCGAAAAGGTTAAGAGAACTTAACCTTAAATATCTTGAATAGCTTTACCTCTTTTTGTGTTATTTATCGCTGCAATGGAAAAAACAGTGCAATTGTCTATATATTCAGGATGATTTGTAGCTTTAAATTTACATGGCAGAGATATTAAAATAGAGGTTTATATACGTTGGTAAAAAGTAAACATAAACATAACCTGTCGTTAACGTCAACAACATGAGTAAGTACAGAAGAAAAGAATCCTCGAGCGAGGATAGTGACAGTGAAGAAGAGAGGCGTAAGAAGGATATTAAGGAAAGAGATGAATTCGCTAATCGTCTTAAAGCGAAAGATGAGAGTAGAATACGGAAGGTTGCTATGCCAGCTGGCTCGGGAGCAGGTAAATTGTATTTTATCATGTAAACATGATTGTATCGAAGAATGTCTCTTTACCAATATTCATGAATGTAAATTTTACTATTTACATAGCTGAAGCAGCAAAACGACTCAAAATTATGGAAACGGACATGAGGGAGAAGTTGGTACCAAAGCTGAGAGTTGAATCTCGTAGAAAATATTTGGAAAAACGTAAAGAAGACAAAGTGGCAGAATTGGAAGCCGATATTATCGATGATGAATATCTGTTTGAAGACCAAATGTAATTATTCTTTGATATAATACAAGACAAAGTTATGTTACAAAACTTAGCACTTGATTAACAATGCTTTTAATACGATAGATTGACAGATCGGGAAAAGAAAGAAAGGGAACACAAGAAGCAGTTATTACAGTTAGCAAAAGAACATGAAAAAGCTAGGGAACTCGAAAGAGTACAAAGGTATCATATGCCCTTGGAAAAAGGGAAGGTTGAACCGGAACAAGATGTACATGACAACGAGCCACTGCAATCTGAACAAAGTAAATGGGAGTCCGATCAAATGTCGTCCGCCGTCTTCCGCTTTGGCGCCAAAGACAGAAAAGGTGCATAATTTGTACACATTGTTAATAAGATACATTACATTTATCACGCAAGATATTTTCAATATTTTTGCAGTTGAACAAGATTACGATCTCCTTTTGGAGGACGAGGTAGAATTTGTTCAAGCGCTGCGTATGCCTGGCAGTGATAAAGACCGGAAACGTGAAATAAGTCCACCACCGCAAGTGAAAGCACTGCAAACCATACAGGAAACGAAAAAGAGTTTACCTATCTACCCCTTCAGAAACGACTTGATTCAAGCGATCAAAGATCACCAGGTATTTTAAATTACTGTGCCGTGTAAGGTAAGACCTTACGCTATTGTTAAAATGTTACATTTGTAATGTAGGTGTTGATAATAGAGGGAGAAACGGGCTCCGGAAAAACGACGCAGATCCCACAATATTTATACGAGACCGGGTTCGCGGAAGATAATAAAATTATCGGCTGTACTCAGCCGAGGAGAGTGGCTGCCATGTCCGTGGCAGCGAGAGTCGCTCACGAAATGGCTGTGAAATTGGGAAACGAAGTCGGTTACGCGATCCGTTTCGAGGATTGCACTTCCCATCGAACTCGAATTAAATACATGACTGACGGTACGCTGCATCGAGAATTTCTAAGCGAACCGGACTTGGCTTCCTACAGTGTCATGATCATCGACGAAGCTCACGAACGTACTTTGCACACTGATATATTATTCGGGTTGGTGAAGGATATCACAAGATTTCGACAGGATTTGAAGTTGTTAATTTCGTCGGCCACTTTGGACGCAACGAAATTTAGCGAGTTCTTCGACGACGCTCCCATTTTCCGAATACCCGGTCGACGGTTTCCCGTCGATATTTATTACACCAAAGCCCCCGAGGCAGATTACATAGATGCTTCCGTCGTTTCCATTCTTCAGATACACGCGACTCAACCCCCTGGCGATATACTCGTATTTTTAACAGGTAAGTGATCTGATCGTTGTAATACAGTGTCAATAACATCTGAATTTAGCTGACAAGGGAATTTGTCAGCACAAAAATGTAAGCTCTTGTAAATTTGATCATAAAGGTCAGGACGAGATCGAGACATGTCAGGAAATGTTGCAAGAAAGAGTGAGGCGATTAGGGTCGAAATTAGGGGAGCTCTTGATTTTACCCGTTTACGCGAATCTTCCAAGCGATATGCAGGCGAAAATATTTCAACCGACACCGTTCGGCGCCAGAAAGGTATCAATGGAGAATTATTGAACGAAGGCAAACGCAATTATTTCTTTACCTTTTTCGTTTACGAGCACGCGACGCTTTGCAGGTAGTTCTCGCCACCAATATAGCTGAAACATCCTTAACTATAGACAACATAGTGTACGTGATAGATCCTGGATTCGCAAAACAGAACAATTTCAACTCCCGGACAGGCATGGAAAGTTTGATGGTGGTGCCAATCAGTAAAGCCTCCGCCAATCAAAGAGCTGGAAGAGCCGGTAGAGTAGCCCCGGGCAAGTGCTTTCGACTGTACACGGCTTGGGCCTATCAACACGAGCTAGAAGACAATACAGTACCTGAAATTCAGAGGATTAATCTGGGTAATTGAATTCAATTTGCATCATTTTTACCGTACAAACCTCTTAACATAAAAGAAGACAAAGTAAACACGCAAGAGATTGCCCTAGAATCGTCAATAAATTTAAAATAATAATTTCAGGCAATGCTGTACTCACTTTGAAGGCGTTAGGTATAAACGACTTGGTCCATTTCGATTTCCTCGATCCACCACCCCACGAGACGTTGGTCCTAGCGTTGGAACAGCTGTACGCTTTGGGAGCTTTGAATCATCGCGGTGAACTAACGAAACTCGGCAGAAGAATGGCCGAGTTCCCGTTGGATCCAATGATGGCCAAGATGTTGTTGGCCAGCGAGCAGTATCGTTGCTCGGAGGAGGTGGCCACCATCGCCGCCATGTTGTCGGTGAACGGGGCGATCTTTTATAGACCAAAGGATAAGATCATACACGCGGACACGGCGCGTAAAAATTTCCACGTACCCGGCGGAGATCATCTCACTTTGCTGAACGTGTATAATCAGTGGCAGCAAAGCGACTTCAGTACCCATTGGTGTTACGAGAATTTCATTCAGCATCGGTCGATGAAGCGGGCGAGGGACGTCAGGGAGCAGTTAATCGGATTGATGCAGCGGGTCGAGATGGAGCTCGTTTCGGGGATCACGGAAACCGTGAACATCAGGAAGGTTAGTATTTATGTAGCTTTTAAGATTGACAAGCATTCGACGTAATAAAATGCAAAGTTTTAAGTTGGTTAATATCATCATATTGATGATTTTTCACATAAATCCGACGGATTCGATCTTGTTAATTGACTACTGTTTTCTAATGGTAATTTTAGGCTATTACAGCCGGTTACTTCTACCACGTGGCTCGATTGTCGAAAGGGGGCCACTACAAGACTGCTAAGCACAATCAAACGGTGTCGATTCATCCGAATAGTTCACTGTTTCAAGAACTACCGCGTTGGCTACTCTATCACGAACTAGTATTCACTACGAAGGAGTTCATGCGGCAGGTACGATCCTTGATATATTGCGTATTAGGTTGTATAATAAATCCATGAGTTTACTATGGATTCACAACTGGATAAATTAAAAGCAACAAAAGAATTTGTGTCGTATAATTATTTGGTTGGGATATTTTACCCCAACCATATCTAGATGATCTTTATGTTTAAATAATGTTCAAAACAATAAATTTGCGATTTCTGGGCCAGACAAGCCACTTGAAATTAAATTGAAACAACAACTCGAACAATTTCTAGGATAATGACAATTATTTTCAATCGTGATAGGTAACAGAGATCGAAAGCAAATGGCTATTAGAAGTAGCTCCGCATTATTACAAACCAAAAGAACTGGAGGACTCCACGAATAAGAAGATGCCGAAAGTTGCGGGAAGATCGCGCCCGGACGGAACAAATTAATTGCGACGATTAACGCAACCGATTAGGTGCTTGTACAATGCATAGAGTTCGCATGAAAGTGTACTGTGCAAAGGCTGCGATTCCATTGTGACTTTCACGATATCAAATTTTTGAACAAGAACGTTTCACGCGCGATTGTGGCGTAAAATATTAAGCATTTCTATTCGTTAGCTGCAGTTAATGCAGACATTTGTGCCTCACGGAACACTTAGCAACAACTGTAACGTAAAATGTACAAACACCACTAACCGACAAATATATTCTTAAATATTTGTATTTCGTTCCAAATGCATTTTATTTTAATAGAAAAAGCCGAGAAGAAACTAGTTTTATTATTCCCTTTTGCGATCTCCTTTTGTGAATTACGCGACTTCAGGGTTGTAACATTCTTGATCTCATTGCTTTTGCACTTTTCATGGTTTCGAAACGGAGGTCTACCACGACGAATTGGAACGAAAGTTTTGCAATACCAAGCGTGCAGAATGTTCCGCGCGACGGAGACATCCTTGCACCAGTTGTTGCAGTTGAAAATTAAAATTGGATCACTCTCGTCCATTCAGCGATCGTTCTACTCGCCGTACCATGAATTTAATATAAACCGATATGGTACATAGTATCCATCGCAAGCTACATCGTAGGTAACATTAATTATTTATCTGTTCAAAATTATAGAGCATGTGCACTTAATGTTTTTTATATAGCAACAGGGATCTGGATCCTACGATGGCGGCAGAGCAGGACAGAATCAAAGGGGGAAATATTCACGACCCCTTTGTAAAATAAATATATTACACTGCTGGCGCTACGATTCTCTGCGAAACGTTCCCACCGATTCGTCGTCACGTCACGACATCTCCGCTGCACGATGATTTCGATAAATAAATAAATCGTTCCCGTAAACGACACGTTGGCAACATGGTAAAATACTAAAACCACGAATGTAACAACGAGGGACTTCTACGGGAAGATCCATGAAATTTCAACTATTAATATGTAGCTAGATCGCAACGCATTGGCCATTACGATAATGATACGCTACGCGCATACGAAGGTAGACGTCTTGAGTGTATTTCGCGAAAGAAACGCGAATACTATTTTCTGTAGCTATAGACGACAAACGTGGACGGGTCAGTGTTTTATAAAATTTCGTCCGGTCGTCTCGTCGCGAAAGTCTGTACTCGGAAGAAAAACGCGCTACGAACGTAGAATATGTTCGTTTCAGTTCGTCGTCGCCTATCGAGCAGCACGTTGCTCGAAACATGTTCGTTAAGAGATAAAATTGATAGAAGAAAAATACACCAGGCGATACAAGTTCCTCTAAACATTTAAGAAACAAGTACTGTCACGGTGTTAGTGATTTATTAAGGACGTCTTGTTCTCTTTTAGCGCGAAGTATCCCTAAATTGTCTTTGTTGTTATGCTGTATTTAATGATCGGTGTCAATTGTTTTTAAATATGAGTATTCTACGACCAGCGTTCTATATATTGACAATATGCGGATGTTGGAGACCACCCGGATGGTCCACGATAGGCGAAAGGTTATTGTACGGTTTGCACACGATATTCGTGTTCCTCCTGTTGCACAGCTTTTGCGCGTCGCAGTTCCTAAACGTGGCGCTGAACGTGAAGACCGCGGACGAGCTCAGCGAGAGCGTCTACATGTTCATCGCGAATTGCTTGTCCTGTTGCAAGATCATCGTGCTTCTGGTGAACCACGAGAGCATAAAGAATCTGACGAGAAAGCTCGAGGAGGAACCCTGCAAACCGATGGACGAGACGGAGTCGACGATTCAGAGGAAGTTCGATAAAAAGATCGGGTAATCGTCGAAACGTTCACCATATTTGTGTCGTAATCACTCCCACGGTTAATCGTAACCTCTTTGCAGGTCGTTCACGATTTTTTACACAATTCTGGTGGAGTTCACGGTCCTCTGTATGATTCTATCGTCGGTGTTCACCGACTTCCGGCGTAGGAAGTTGGCGTACAGAGCGTGGCTGCCTTTCGATTACAACGACCCCTATCTCTATCACGTCGCGTACGTTCATCAGCTTGTGAGCCTGATCGCGGTATCGCTAATGAACGTCGCTTGCGACGTGATCGTTATCGGTCTGTACTGTCACGCGAGCGGCCAACAGGAAATATTAAAGTACAGACTGAAACGGCTCACGCGGGAAACGAAATCCGAATTTGGAAAGTTCGTGAATTTTCACAATTACCTTTACACGTTAGTATCACAGAAACGTTTCAGGACGTGTCTTGTTAACATTTGAAACGGGTATAGCCACCTGGAAGAGTCAAAGACAGGCGGGTGTTTGTAAAAGTTTATGAAATCAGTATTCTGCTCGTTTGTAAATACATAAATTCCGCGGTATTCGATTAAAATGAGAAAATCAAATACATACTTAAAGTGTATTTAATTTATGTCACTGTTGTTTCTTGAAAAGGCGTTTATGAGCTTATGGTGGTAGCAGAGTACAATAGAACCTCCGTTATTATAGCCTAAACAACAAGTGAGGTTAGAGACACTAGGCAATTATCATGTTGAACCATACTTCAACGAAACTTACATAAGAGTATAGCAGACAGATATACCGCCTGCTGTACTTCGGTTAGGAGGCTCTGTATTTTTGTAAATTTTGTAAATATTGATTTAAAACTTTTATAGAACATTGACGAATGATAGATCCCTTCGAAACGAAACGAAAGGATCGATGTCTGTTGGCCCCCGAGGTGCAATACAGCAATGATTCTTAAAGTGAACCCAAATACATACGTGATTCGTAAGTTGAACAAGTATCACTCATAGAGCCCAGTGAAACGTGAGAAACATTTAAAGAAACGATGCAAGCTGGGGTTAGGTTATGATGTTCATTTTAAGAATCATTACTGTACTTTATTTCGCGAGGCATTTCAGCGACTCCATTTTCAAACCTAGGTACGTTTCCAACGTGCAGAAGACATTTAACGTGATGATTGGTATACAGCTTCTGTCGAGTACTCTAGTGGTGTGCTTTATCATGTACCAATTGTCGAACATTTCGCCAACGAGCCCCACGTATTTGCAGTTCATCATGTATATGGTGTGCATGACAACGCAGATCTTTATCTACTGTTGGTACGGCAATCAACTAAAATTGAAGGTACTTACGTGAAAGATAGAAGCGTCACGAATATTTTCAATTCCTGTCTTACACTTCTCAGTTCGTTTAACTCGTTGACAGCCATGGTGGTCACCGGTGACCGGCACTCTAAACTTACAACGCCTTAACAAAACTTAAATCTTATACAGGGTGTTCAAAATAAGACGAAAATCAAGAATACCAATTTGTTGATGGAGGCTTCGTTAAAAAGTTATTAACAATTAAATTCAAATATTTCAAATCGTTCTGGAAAAATTATTTTCGGTTGCGGGGGTCAATTACAATCATTTTTGGTCATTACACATACCTCAGAAATCCTGTGCACTTTCGAGAAAAAAATTCTTTACTGAAAATCTAATTAGGTGCCCAAATTCGACGAAAAAAAAGATTTCAAATCGTTCTAAAAAAATTATTTTCGATTGTGGGAGTCAATTACAATCATTTTTGGTCATTACACATACCCCCGAAATCCTACCCACTTTCTAGAAAAAAATTCGAGAAGATGTGAAATTTTTCGACTGAAAAAAAACTTCAAATGATTTTGGAAAAATTATTTTCGATTGCGGGAGTCAATTGCAATCATTTTTGGTGAATAGACATACCCCCGAAATCCAACCCATTTTCTAGAAAAAAATTCGAGAATATGTGAAATTTTAGGACGAAAAAAAAAATTTTCAAATCGTTCTAAAAAAATTATTTTCGGTTGCGGGGGTCAATTATAATCATTTTTGGTGAATAGACATACCCCCGAAATTTTGCGCATTTTCGAGAAAAAAATTCACTACGAGCGAAACTTTAAACGTTAATAACTTTTTAACGATGCCTCCATCAACAAATTGGTATTCTTGATTTTCGTCTTATTTTGGCCTCTAGAATCTCTCATTAAAATTTTTCCCAGGGTTGTCTGAACACTCTGTATAAATATGTCCGAATGTTTGTGAAATTGCAAATTATTCTCCTCCCTGTCTGAAAATTCTTTACAAGAATTAAAGTTAACGTTATACTTATTCGTATACGTTCGTAAGAGCAGAGCATGGAGATCGTGCAAACGACTTCCGAGATAGATTGGGTGTATCTTGACAACAGCTCCAAGAAAGACTTGATAATGGTTATGAGAAGAGCGGTAAAGCCAATAGAAATGACCAGCGCGTACGTGTTCACGATCGACTTGAACACCTTTGTCAAAGTCAGTAAAAAGTGATCTAGCTTTTACCACAGAATCCTTCTATCCGTTCTCTAATTTTACATATTTTTTTTAGATATTAAAAATGTCTTATTCGACGTACAATTTGCTACAGAAGACGAAAGAATCATAACAGACGGGACGATGGAATTATTAAAATCGCTGAACAGCGTATTAACGATAATAGAATGCAACGTACTTAGCGTGCACAAGAATATACGATATTAAAAATATTCTGTCTATAAAGTATTCTGAAATAAAATTATTATAGTTCACCGTGTCCATTACTATTCGATCACAGAAACATCAATGGTAATGATTAGACTGCGGATGTTTATGCATTTATGGGAAATTTTAATTCTCAAGAAACTACAGAATGCACTTAATATGCAAAAATATAAGAAATACTTAAAGTAAGATACGAATTATTATATTTAGGGGTTGAGACAGCCCTCTGCGAAGCATTAATTCTATTAATAAAAATGTGAATTTACATAAAGATCCGCAGTCTAGTAATGGTGATTGATTTTGTTCGTAAAACAGTAATGCTTAATTTTATACCACGTGGCGTGGGTATAACTTTCTTTACCAAACGTTCTTCGTGCCTCCTATGGTACAATGGTCACAGAAAGTAAATGTATCGATCTCGTCGTGAGTATGTTAATAACACGGTAAAATAATAAAACGTTGAATTTGAAAGAAGGGGTAAGAAATTCTAAAGAAAATACGTAAAATAACTCTTATGGGACAAAGCGGATAGATCGCGTCGTCGATAGCGGGTAATTACGGTAATGATACATCGCGTGCATACGTAAAGTCTTCCGTAGAAGAGAAACAAATCCTCAAGAGAAATACCTTTCCTAAAATATAGGCGATGTCTAGCCTTCAGTGTTTCATGCAGTCTCATCCGAGTATCATCGACAATTGTCTGCTCGTAATGAATGACGCGACGAATGAAAAATATATTCCATTTGGTTCGCGAACGTTGTTGGCGAAAAAATATAATGGATGCAACGACGAACACGACGTGTAATTAAAATTGAAATCTCCAAGCACTTTTCCAGTGGCAGTGATTTATTAAGAACACACGGCTTATTATTATTATTAAATTTTCTCGAAATATGAATATTTTGCGACCACCGATCGACGTATTTACATTTTACGAATACCGGGTACAGATCACTTTGTCCACGAGTAAGAGACTAGTGCGTGGTTTCATGTTTTCGTTAAATTTCTCCCGCATTGCAAATTCCAAGTGTGATAAATGTGAAAGACGACACTGCACCCCTTGAGGGTGTGTATATGCTTATTTCCAGAAATAGAATAACATTGTTTCCTAATAAAACATTAGTACGTTCTTCGTCGATAATTCGAAGTGCTGGAAAAAGTTACGAATCTATGAACAGATCGAAGGATTGAAATCTGAGAATCGCAAGTAATAAGTTGGAGGAAAAATGAGCGTCGAAAGGATGAGCATCATGCGATGGACATTTCGAATCCTCGTGATATGCGGCTGTTGGCAGCCGCCATCTTGGACGTCGCCCGTGAAAATGTTTCTGTACGCCTTGTACAGAGCGATCGTCCTGTCGTTGATTTACACGGTCACGTTCCTCCAGTTCATGGACATTGTGATAAACGTGCAAAATCAGGACGAGTTCAGCGACAACTTCTACCTGCTGCTGGCGATGCTGGTTTCCTGCCACAAGGGTTACAGTCTGGTGAAGAACCGCGAAAGCATAGCTGCTTTGAACGATATCCTCGAACAGGCGCCATTCCTGCCGGAAAACGCGGAGGAAATCGGAATTCGAACAAGGTTCGACAAAAGATCCGAGTAAGTTTGCTTGATTCGTGTTTCGCGTCGAAGACAATCGAATACTCTACCTTTGGTTCACATCCTTTAGCTACTCGTTTGTCTTTTTTTGGGGAATCGATCAAAAAAAACAACATTCTTTTATTTTATAATTACTCGTTCACCAGCTAAGTCTTTACTTGCAAATATTTCAGGATGAAATTCGACAAATTGCAATAAGTACAGAAAGTATCAACGTACGAGGTGTTCAGCCACATATATCAGAATAAATTTAACGATTTATGTTGGCTTTGTTCTACGAAACTAAGCAGTAGCTCTGAATCCATTTGTTAATAATCGTAATTGTTGTTGCAACTACGTTTCAGTCCCGATCACGATGGAAAGCGGAAAGTTATTCCTCGTTCGACGAGCCCGAGCGATCAAACTTTCTGCTTTTTAACAGCCTGACTCGTTGCATCGTTGTCGGACGTTTCCTTTAACGCGAAAGGGTCCGAAAACGTTTGTGTTTGCAGACTGATGACGCTTCTCTACGGGGCTCTGATCGAGTCAACGGTCATGTGCATCTCGTTCTCGGCGTTACTGAGGTCCGAAAGTGGAGAACTGCCGTACAGAATGTGGCTACCTGGCAACGTTACTTCGGTGTACTTGTTTACCCTTACCTACGTCCAACAAGTTCTAGCCTTGACCGCTGGATCGTTGATGCACGTTGCCTGCGACTGTTTGATCTGTGGCCTCTTGATCCACACTTACAGCCAAATCGAGATACTCGGCTCTCGTCTGAAAACTATCAAAAATGGCGAGAAGAAGTCGTTGGTCTCGTGCGTACGTTACCACGAACGTGTCTACCGGTTGGTTCACCATATTGGCATAGTTTATAGCGTTATTTTTTCTCTTTTAAAAAGCATACGTTGCACTCGAACTAGATCTGAATTAAAATAATTCATTTTCACGTTGAGACGTTGAGGGGAATTTTTGAGAGGATTTTACGAATTTTAGCAAGCTTACAAATATTACAATTTTAGTCTTGCAGAATATTATACAGTTTTGGTAGTGAATATTAAAATGCATAGAAGTGCACGTATAAACAAGCTAATTTGATACCTTCTCAATGAAAACTGTTCAGGGATTGCAGAAATACATGAACAATATGTATAGACCGTGTAATAAAAAATCAAAATGTTTACTCGATATGACTGTGCTTGTCAAAACTGATTCTGGCAAGATCTGTGTTTATTAGAACATTTTCGTTAGGTTCGAGGCACAGAACAGATGCATGTGTATATCTTTTGGCAGAAAGCCTGATTCTGTATCATAACTCATCAGCGACCAGCGAATACATAAAAGTTCTTTCAACAAAATTCCAGATTCGCTAAAATGTTAAACGCAAAGTTTACGATGGTAATTTTCGTTCAGTTCGCGGTGAGCACCATGGCGGTGTGCTTCAACCTTTATCTAATAACGACCACGGAAAGCGTGAATGCACAGTTATTGAAAATAATAATGTACACTTGTTGCATACTGACGCAGATATTCGCTTACTGTTGGTGCGGGAACGAAGTTAAGTCGAAGGTTCGTTAATACCTGTGTGTAATTAGAAAAGAACAGCTTCCATTGTTTGTAATATATGCTTTCACTTCTCAGAGTCTCGATCTTTCAAACACGATTTTTGGAAGTGACTGGACGGTGCTTGACAACAACGCTAAAAGAGCTCTTATGGTGATCATGAGACGAGCGACAGTGCCCATTGAATTTACCAGTATTTACATTGTGCCGATGAATCTCGAAACTTTCGTGAGCGTTAGTATAAAAGAAATATATTTTCCCCCGCATTATCGTGGCTCTCCAAAAGTACAGAATTATCTGTTGCAAAAAGGAATAAATTTAACGTTGACACTCTATTTATTTTCTATATAAATTCTTTGAGAGTTTAAAAATTAAATTAAATTAAATTTTTACTTTTATTTTCAATATTAAAATCTGGTGTCACTGTTTCTTCTTTCACTGTTTGTTGCAGATACTAAAAACTTCTTACTCGGCGTACAACGTGCTCCAACGAGGTAAGGGATAGGAGAACGAACTTTAATAATTTTCCGTCGTAGAGAAAAACTTTTGTGGACGAATATCTCGTTCGATAATCGCCATTGCGGAAAAACAAGAAAACTGATGTTGAAATATATGTAGGATCTGTAGCAATAAATTTTGCAGAAAACTGTGACGTATCTTGATATTAAAACGTAATTTCTTTTTCTTAACGATTTCTTTCCTTCCATTTTACTTTTCTCGTGAAATTGCTGTTAGTCAGCTATTAGGTAGTTTGTTAGTTAGTTAGTTATTTAGAAAGTTAATTTAATAGATAGTTAGTTAGTTAGTTTGTCAGATAGTTAGTTTGTTTGCAGTTTGTTAGTTAGTTTGTCAGTTAGTTAGTTAGTTTGCAGTTAGATAGTCAGTTTGTTAATTAGTTAGTTAGTTAGTTCGTTAGTTAGACTAACTGTCGGATGAAGATCAACCAAATTATCGGATACAATGTGTATTAAACGGAAAGCTATATAACGATCATTTATTTTTACGTTTTAGTCTAAGAAACGAACGAAGTTAAAAACCAGAATATTAAAAGAAATTTTTTTCTCGAAAATGGTTAGGATTTTGGGGGTATGTCTATTCACCAAAAATGATTGTAATTGACCCTCACAACCGAAAATAATTTTTTCAGAATGATTTGAAATTTTTTTTTCCATTGAAAAATTTAGGCACCTACTTCCTGTCGATTTTTCTTAGAAATTCGTTTTTGATTTTTAGTAATTTAGTTTGACGCCCTACAGAAAAGTTGTCTAATACTTTTTTGTAGGTACCTGTGAGCACTACTTCAGAAAAAAGTTTCATTGAAATATATTCACTATTGCGGGAGTTATGGTTGTTTGAAAATTGAACCATTTTTATGGGGTTTTTCTAACTTTCGGGGGTCAAGGAACACCTTTCTCAATATTGTTAGAATTTATACATATTCTTCATCAAAATACGCGTAGTATGCCGCTTGAAACATTAAAATTGTCCAATCCGTTCAGAAGTTATGTCGTTTTAAAGATACGCAAGTGACATTTCTGGCCTGAAATTATATTTTCGGTGAGGAATTTTTTTCTCGAAAATGGTTAGGATTTCAAGGTTATGCCTAATGACCAAAAATGACTGTAATTAACCCCTGCAATCGAAAATAATTTTTTTAGAACGATTTGAAATTATTTAATTTCGCCGAAAATTTCAGGGGAATAGGTGTATGTATGATCAGACATTTTCAGTAATGAATTTTTTTCTCGTCACTGGGTAGGATTTCGGGGGTATGTCTATTCACCAAAAATGATTGTAATTGAACCCCGTAACCGAAAATAATTTTTTCAGAACAATTTGAAATTTTTTTTTCGCCAAAAAATTTAGCCACCTACTCGAATTTTTTTCTCGACACTGGGTAGGATTTCGGGTATATGCCTCTTGACAAAAAATGATTGTAATTGACCCTCGCAACCGAAAATAATTTTTTCAGAATGATTTGAAATTTTTTTTCGCCAAAAAATTTCTGCACCTACTCCCTGTCGTTTTTTCTTAAAATTTTGTTTTTGATTTTTAATAAACACACCCCTGAGTAATGTAGTAATACAATTTATTATTCGAACATTCCGAACTCTACTAAATGTAAAAAATTCTTAAAGTAAGGTATAAAATAATTTTATATATTGGTGGTTCAAACAAAAATATGAATTTGCCGAAAGGTCCGCAATGAATTAATAGTAACTAATTCCGTTTGCATTATATTGATTCATATGTAAAATGAAATAATTAATTTCTTACCGTACAGTGCGCTATATTTTTATGTATCAAACGTTCTTCGTGCTTCTTCTCCGGTCTCAACAACTTCAGCGAGTACAATGGTCTCAAGAAAGAAATGTATGGATCTCGTCACCGGTAGACTATTAATACGCTAAAATAATAAAACGTAGAATTTAGAATAATCGACTTTCGTATGGATCATGCCAGTAGCAATTACGATAATGGTACGCCGGGTGCATACTTAAATTCTTTTGTAGAAGAGAAATAAATATTCAAGGGAAATTCCTTTTCGAAAGTATAGACGATGTTTAGTCCTCAGTGTTTCGCGCAATTTCATCGAAGAATCTTATCGTGTAAATCTGCACACAAATATAAAGAGTATTTAAAGTTGCTAACAAGTTAAATCGAACCAAGGAAAACACCGTTCGCGTGTCAGTGATTGATTAAAAACACGTTGACTATAATGAAATAACAGTGAGTAACAATTTTCTGGATCGAAAGATGAATATTCTGCGACCAGCGTTCAATTTGTTAACGTGTTGTGGCTGCTGGAGACCGACCAGCTGGTCCACCACGGGCAAAAAGATATTGTACGGCGTCCACACAACTTTCATGTTCCTCCTGATACACAGTTTCTGCGCGTCGCAATTTCTGAACGTGTTGAACGTGAAAACCGCGGACGAGCTCAGCGACACCATTTACATGTTCTTCTCGACGTTCACGGCCTGTTGCAAGATCCTCACTCTTCTGATAAACCACGAAAACATAAGGAACATGGCGCGAAAACTCGAGGAGGAACCCTGCAAACCGATGAACGAGGCGGAGGTGTCGATCCAAAAGGAGTTTGACAAACGAATCGGGTAAACAAATTGTAATATGTAATTTCAAGGGTCGTTACGCACACTTGATCGAATCCATGGCACCTTATCAATCATATTTGCTTTCAATCGTTTGTAATTAACGTTCGTGACAATTTCGATATTCCAAAACTTATAAAGAAAATATCAACGCGATGATTTCTGTGTTGCACGCGTGTACTGAACGTTAAGGGATGTTCACGATTTTTCTCAAATTACTACAAACAACAGTTTTGTTTTTAGGGTGAAATCAAAGTAGTAAAAATTACCAATAAAATTTCACTATAATCTAGTACAAAGTAATCTGTTTTAAATCTTGGTTCGTGTTTTATTATTCAGCACGCTTTCGCTGGTCCCTGTGCACGACAATTATTCCGAGACAATTGCCTCCACAAGTAGCGAATTAATCAACCTCTGATCATTCATAGACACTTTCCAGGTCCGTATCGATTTGGTGCGCGATTCTGGTGAAGTGCACGGTCCTCAGCATATGTAACGGCGTCGTTGTTCACCGATTTGCCAAAGAGGAAGCTGCTGTACAGCGCTTGGTTGCCATTCGCTTACACAAACCGAAGCCTTTATTTCGTCGTTTATGGCCATCAGCTGGTGGCCCTGTACGGGCTGGGGTTCACAAACGTGGCTTGCGACGTGTTCGTCATCGGTCTATCTGCTCACGCGTGTTGCCAGCAAGAGATCCTCAAGCATAGACTGAAGGAGCTCACGCTAGAAATTAGACCCGATTTTGGGAAGATAGTACGCTTTCACGACTACCTCTACAGGTCGGTCTAGTTGAAACTGAAGTCAGTCTACTGAAAATTCAATGGTTTCATATGATAAACTCGAAACAAAGTCCATTTTATTCCGTTTCCAAACGCAGATACGCATTCATGATACAAGAGAACTTCAAAGTGATGCTGTCCATACAGCTTCTGTCGAGCACTCTGGTGGTGTGTTTTAATTTGTACGAATTGACGAACACGCCGCTGAACAGCCCCAAGTATTTAGAATTTGTCATGTTCATGGCTTGCATGATGGTACAGAGTTTCATCTACTGCTGGTATGGAAACGAACTGAAACTCAAGGTATTTGCGCGAAAGAGAAACACGTTACAATGCAATCTTCAGTATTTTTTTCTTTGAAAGAGAGAGAGAGAGAGATCCTCTGGAATAACTTCACAGCTCTCGATTATATTGAAAATGATATTCCCTTGGTTGGGGGATTATTTCATGGACTATTTTGTGTACAGTTACTCCCACTCGTATTCGTATAATATTGTTGATTTGCTAATGAAAGAAAAACTTGTTATGAATTGAGCAGTTGTTTTTGGAAACTGGTATAAATCTATTCTTTATAAGTCCATAAATTAAAAACAAAACTAGCCAATAATCGGGGAAAAAAACACACGTATTATTGGCATTATTTTGTAATTGGGCATTACTTTCCCGTTAAATATTAACAAAAAACAATTCCCTAAATAGTAGTGTTTAATAAACAACATTTGGTAAAAAAAAAAACAAAAAATTCATAAGAAACAAGTTTCTTTTCATACCAAATCATATAATGTTAACCAAAAAAACAAAACTACTTCGTACATAAAAATAACACAGTGTAATAAATAGACTGCGGATCTTTATGCAAATTCATATTTTTATTAATAGAATTAATAAAACGGGAGCTTTGTAGATGATCGTCTCAACCCTTAAATATAATAATTCGTATCTTACTTTAAGTATTTCTTATATTTTTGCATATTAAGTGCATTCTGTAGTTTCTTGAGAATTAAAATTCCCCATAAATGCATGAACATCCGCAGTCTAGTAATAAACGATATTTGGTAAAAATAAATGGAAACATACTAAACAAAACTACGTAATTAGAAATAACACAAAACTACTTCGTAAATAAGAAGTAACAGAATCACATAGCTCAGTGTAATAAAAACAACATTCAAAAGAAAATTCTTTGCAATTATACTGAACGAATACGAGCAGGAGAGTAACAACTGTGGTATCATAGCTATGGAAATAATTACCATGCTTCTAAGGTTCCAAATTCTTTCTCTTTCTTTATGATGAATTTCGTTCAAGTTTTCAACAATATGTCTCTGAAATCTTACGTGTATTGTTATCAGAAACGAATGGTAATACTTTGCTTCTGTTATATATTCGTAAGTGCAGAGCGTCGAGCTCGTGGATGCAATTTTCCACCTGGATTGGACGCTTCTCGACGAGGGCGGCAAGAAAAGCTTGTTGATCATCATGTCGAGAGCAATGATTCCCATAGAATTGACCTGCGCGTACATAGTCAAGATGGACGTGGATACCTTTGTGGCGGTTAGTACAATTGATTGAATTTTTATCAGAAAATTATACGTCGCGCCTTTTGTAATCGTTTCACGCTCCGTTACAGATTCTAAAATTATCTTACTCGACGTATAATTTGCTACAGCGAACGAAATAATTGTAGAACAAGAGACGGGTGTCGAATCGATTTATCAAGAATTACAAGGTAGTAACAATGTATCTAATGTGCATGATAATACAATTTAACTTGTAGAACGCATATAAATAAAATTCTTACGTAGTCGATCACGCCCATTGCCGTTTAATGCAACTGTTAAAACACAAACGTCATCGAATGCGTTTCAACAAATTGAATTTTGAAAATTAACAAAATTGATCTTTACCACTGACTAAAATATTAATAAAATACTTTTACTTACGTCCAGCACTTTTTCGTCACAGAGAGTGTTATTAACAGAGCCAAACAAATTAAAGACTCAAAATGGTCGGTTATTGATCTTTTGCGAAGGGGACACTAAACGATTGTTAATTTGACGCGTGGAAGAGATCAAAGGACGTTCGTAAACGATACCGTTCAAACGCTCATTTTCTTTCGACTGTCAAAGGAACGTCTGCGATATTTCTCGTTGACAGCACGATGTATTTTCTAAAGAATGTTTCTTCGGCTTCCGATTATAGTCAGCCGTTGATAATTAATGTAACTCGAAGAAATTACAAAGGGGTGCATGGAAAAAATAATGAAATACCAAGGAATTCAACGGTGCTCATAAATGTGTAATTCGTTAACTCGCGTGGCCGCATTGCTGAAGATTGCTATAATAACATAGTTTGTGCAGAGGAGGGAACTCTGGGAACTACCCATCGTTCGAAGCGTGGACACTCGTACAGTCGACAGAAGTAAATCGACACTCGTCGATGTTACGTTCCGTTTACTCAGTCGTCGTTTAGGAATTGCACGATATTATTCTCTATGTCTTGTCGCGCGAGTTTCAGATGGTGATAATCGCGAAAACGTTCGTGAAAGTTCCCGAAAAGTTCAAACGAAGTATCTAAAATGGAATCTATGCCAAAGATCGAACGCAACGAGCGTTCGGGGGAAATGGGTATCCTGCAGTCGATATTTCGAATCCTCGTTGTGTGCGGATGTTGGCAGCCTCCATCTTGGAGGTCGCCGTTAAAAAAGTATTTGTACACCGTGTACACGGTGATCGTATTGTTGCTGCTGTACACCGTCACGTTCTCTCAATTCATGGATATAGTAATGGGCGTTCAGAATCAGGACGAGTTCAGCGAGAACTTTTATCTGTTGCTCGCGATGCTCGTCGCCTGCTACAAGATCTACAGCATCCTGAAAAGTCGAGGATGCATCGCTGCCATGACCAACATACTCGAAACGGAGCCTTTCTTACCGGGGAACGCGGAGGAAATCGGAATTAGAAGCAAATTCGACAAAAAGGCGCAGTAAGTAGCTTGGGCCAGACTTGAACCTGTTGCGTTTCATAAATCTTTCTGCTGCTGAATCCATATTTGGTCGCAGAAGTCTAGTGGTTCGCCACTTTGAGAAAATAGTAGTTAAATATACCAATAAAGATGATTTTAGTAATTTTCAAAGAGATATATTACCAAAATGGGTCTTGCAAGAGTCTGATACTTTGAGAATATGCAGGGCATGTGTAGATACGTATTACGCGAACGTGGGGTCCTTCGCCTCCCGTACTCGCCACCAGAGGGACCGTTTCTCTCGCAAGCGCTCTTCCATTCCCTTCCAAAGCAGGGCCTGCTAGGGTTGCAACTTTTTCCCTTTTTCATCTCTTCCACAAGACCCCGTATGATTATTTAAAAAATTTACAAATCGTTTGCTACATGGACACGTCCAGTTTGCGAATTACAACGATAAAATCAGAAACGGTCGAACGTTTCAGGGTTAATTTCCACCCCTTAAAGTAAAAAGGAACTAATTTCGAAGCAATTGCACGCTATTGGCGATTATCGTGCTTAGAAAATGGGGATGGGTGGAGCAAGCTAAGCCATTCCTCTGTCCCCAAAACACGTACCCAAACTTCATGGGAGCCAACTACGATTGAAATTACTTTGCAGATCGCTTGCAAAGTTCTACGCAATTCTGTCCGAGTCGTCCGTAATTTATTGGTCGTGCATCGCATTTCTGAGACTCACACACGGGGAATTGCCGGTCAGAGTGTGGCTACCTTACGACTACACGTCAACGTATTCGCTGAGCCTTACCTATGTTCAACAAATTCTAGCCTTTGTCGCCGGCTCGCTGATGCACGTTGCCTGCGACAGTCTGATCTGCGGCCTGTTGATCCACGTTTACAGCCAGTTCGAGATACTCGAGTGCCGTCTGAAAGCGATTAAGGCAGGCGAGAATCAGTCAGTGAATTCGTGCGTTCGTTACCACGATCGTGTGTACCGGTTGGTTCTCTAGACTAGCTTCTTTGACTAGCACGGGGCTTAATTTAAGGAAAAATTCTAGTGTAACGGATTCAAAAAATAGAAATCAAAACAAAAATCACAAAGTCACAGCCTTATATTTTACTAACGAATAATTTCTCATTTTTTACCTGGAGTTTTTTTATTCGAACACACAAGTATCGTGTTTATCAATACTCAATTTTTGATACACGAAAAATTTATGTATTTCTTCTTAAAACTGTTACGCTTGAATTTCTTCTTAACGAAAGTTAATCGTATGAGATAAATAGAATTTTTCGATAATTTTAAGTTTTGTTTTAAACACACCAAAAAGGCCTGAGGAACCGAACGAAAGTAATAGTAAAATATTTGCACCTTCAGGGATTCGATAATAATTGCATCTACTTAAATTGTTCTTCTCGGTTCTAAATTATTCGAAAGGCTGTCTGACTGTTCGACTATATAATTATTAAATTCGTAATTGCATCTTGAAAAAATTCCAGATTCGCTAGAATGATAAACGCAGAATTTAGAATGGTGATTCTCATTCAATTCACGGTGAGCACGCTGGTGGTATGCTTCAGCTTGTATATACTGGCAAAGAGGACGAGCTTCAACTCGATGGTGTTGCAAATAATAATGTACATTTCTTGCATGCTAACGCAGATATTCGTTTACTGTTGGTTCGGGAACGAAGTTAAACTGAAGGTCTGTGGCTACACATTCGATCAGAATTGCATTGCATCGCGAGAACTTTCTCAAGCGTATTCCTTTTTTAATTACAGAGCCTCGAAATTTCCAACATGTGCTTTAAAATCGACTGGACGCTGCTCGACAACAACACCAGAAGAATTCTTCTGATGATCATGAAACGTGCGTCAGAGCCCATCGAATTTACCAGTATTTACATTGTCACGATGAATCTCGAGGCTTTCGTGAACGTTAGTACGAAGTGAAACGAATTTTTTAGTATCTCGATGAAGCAAAATGAAAATATTTCAATTCGTCGACTGGTTCGATCGGTGGTGAAAGGAAAGAAACTATGAATTTTTTATTTGCCTGAAATCTCATGCACGAACGCCGAAATTCAAGAAAATCGGTTCCTTCCTTTGTGACATTAATGTTTTTTTAATTCTGTACTGAACTTAGCTCTTACGTCATTACCCAAGTATTAAAAGGATGAAAAGATAACGTTGATATTGTTTATAAAAAATAAATATACAAAATATTATGAAATATTCAAACGTAAGTCTATCGTAACTCTTTACTAGACCTATACGATCACTATTTATTGCAGATACTTAAAACTTCTTATTCTGCGTATAATATGCTTCAACGAGGCAAGGGATAGTACTAGGAATATTCTCAAGATCGTCGTATAGTGTTAAGATGTATGCAGATCGTTTAACAAATAAATAATAGGAGAAACTGTTAGCCACGTGTTATTAATGAGTAACTTATCGTTTTTACGATTTCTTCTTTAGCGTTTCGCCCTTCTTATCAAATTCCTGAAAAACATCGATTTAATAGAAACAGAAAACCCGAGGAACGACAATATTTTGTATCGTTTAGATATTTTCACAGACTTTCGTTCGCGACAGCTGATTTACATTTCATAGTATTTATTGTCATCCTTTATTGCCAGTTCTTTCCGGTAAAATACAACCTCCCGTATGGTTATTATGGAACATGATTTTATTACTGAAACATAGTTGCATATGTCGCGTGGTTTGCGTCATCGATGTAATTATAGTAATAACATAAGTCATGCGTCGGAAGGGTACGATTCCGGAAGGGAACTGACCATTTCGAGGGTGAAACAGAATATTCTACCATGTTTCATTAAATTTTCTGACATATTGTTCTCAGTTTATGTTTCAGGAAATCTTCGTGGGAACAATAGCAGACACAACAAGGAACCACGTACCTTTTTCATCAAGGCCACTAGAGAAACGTATGGAAATAAATGAGCAATAAATGTTACTTCACGTTTTCTCCGCTGTCTCGACGAACTCACTATGTTGCTACTGACGAAAGCACACGAACATGGTACGGAGAGATCTCAACTACACGCGACAAATTAAAATATGCATTACCTTTCTACTCACTGTCCAACCGTTTAAAGCGTTTAGAACATATTCAATGATAAATGAGACTGAAAAAAGGGAGAGGAATTCCTTACCGTTGCACGGGTCGTATTCATTATCGACAATTAGGATAATAATATAGCCGGTAGGAATACTATCCATGACGAAGGCGCACAAGAAATATCGATACTCTGTGAGACCTCAGTGTTGCATAAAACTTCGTCGATCAAGGATCGTGAAACCAAACTGTTACTTCAGTATTTACTTATTTTCCAAAAGTATCGACACGATTCCAACAAATCTACCGTTTTACCACGTCGTTTTAGTCGTCAGTGTTTAAAGATCAAACTGATCAAGGGCTAACAGTTGGAAAAATTCTGTAAAATCGACAATGACAATACTGCGACGAACGTTCAGAATTCTGACGGTGTCCGGTTGTTTGAGACCGTCTTCGTGTACGTCGTCGTTTAAAAGGCTCTTGTACAACATTTATACGATTTTTGTAATTCTTTTGACGCAGACCGTCGTGCTTTCTCTAATTTTGGACATTGTCTTTAACGTCGAGAATCAGGATGAATTCAGCGACAATTTCTACGTGACGCTGGCGCCGTTTATCGCTTGCTGCAAGATGTGTAACTTTTTAATAAATCGAGCCAACGTTGCAGCTTTGGTTGACAACCTTCGAAGGGAACCGTTCGCCCCCGCGAATGCCGAGGAAATCGAAATTCTAACGAGATATGACAAAATTACCGAGTAAGTACCACGTTGATAATGGCAAAAGTAGAATAATTTATTAAGTAACGTTGGTGAACCGTATTGTAATTCACGTTTATCTTAAGAAAATGTGTAATCATTATTTTCTTGTGCCAACTCAGATTTATGATACTTTTTCTCGCTTATAATATGCTTTACTTGTTTCTCGACGCGATTTATTTCAATTTTACAGTCTTCATGAATTTTTTCCATTTACTTTTATCATATGTCTTTATTACATTATCGGTGTTTTCAACGTGGCAAGACCATCGACAATTTTCGTTTCTAATTTACGTAAACACCCTTACACATCCGAATGTACGAAAAAATGGATTTTCATTAATTTCAAAAACAACAAATTCATAAGAAACACAAGTTTCCTTCCACTTATAGAAAATCACCATTATAGTGCACAAATACAAGTAATTATATATTCTCTGGAACCATTAAAATTGTATTCGAAGCATTTTTTTTCGTACAACGAACATTTTAACCCAAGTCCAGTTCCATTCCCTAATAATGCAACGTGTATAAATATTTTTTCAGATGGAATACGATGGCCTACACTATTTTAATCGAATCGTGCATCGTGTGGATATGGGTAACGTCATTTTTCACAGATTTAAAGTGTAAAAAATTGGTATACCGGGCATGGCTACCTTACGACTATTCTTCGTCGCTTTTGTACGCTGTTACCTACGCTCAGCAGGCTGTAGGTATAACGATCTGCTCGCTTTTGAGCGTGGCTTACGATACTCTGTACAGCGGTATGTTGATCCACACGTATTGCCAGCTGGAATTACTTGGACATCGTTTGAAACGTGTCGTAAAAGAAGACATCGACTCGGTCAAACTGTGTGCTCGTCACCATCGCAGCATATACCAGTTGGTTTCCCAATTACTCTTTGAATTAGAAACTCACGAAAAGCCTTCTAGTAAGTCTTAAATCGAATTATAAAGTCGGACGAGTCGATTAAAAAAAAAAAAATAGTTTCCTACTTCTGGCCAGTTTCTACTGTTGTCTTTAACAACGAAGAATAGGAAAGAAAAGGGATATAATGACTTCCGTTTCTAAAATGATTACAGATTTGCCGGAATGGTGAACCAAACGTTTAAATCGATGGCATGCACTCAATTTTTGGTGAGCACGTCGATCGTGTGCTTCAATCTTTATCGTTTGACGCAACGTGACTTGGGCTCGAGAGTGTTCGAAACGGTGTTCTACGGGATTTGCATGCTCACAGAGATATTTTACTATTGCTGGTATGGGAACGAAGTTAAACTAAAGGTTCATTCTCACGACAAAATATTTCAATTTCAAACCGAGTATCCGTAATTTTACACAACGTTCTCTCGGTAGAGTCTCGAAATTTCTAATATAATAATGGAAAGTGATTGGACGTCTCTGAATGTCAAGTCTAAGAAGATTCTTCTAATGATTATGAGACGTGCAACGACGCCTATCGAATTCAAAGGCATCCACGTTGTGTCGATGAACCTCGAGTCTTTCATGATGGTATTAAATAAATATAATTTCTTGACGCGCTGTTATCCAATTTAGATTTGGGCTCGTAATTACCAATAATAGAATGTGACCTTTTGTGCAGGAATTAGACACTATTTTTTAGTAAAACGTCAATTTTAAATACCTCAAAATAAACTTTCTGAAAATATTACAACGTAGAAATTGATAAACTGACGATACAATTTCTGAATTTTACATTCTTCCTTTTAATAGGCTGATAGTTGTACACTGTTGGTGAAATCATTAATGTTGTTAAAAGGTCGAATGCAATTTGATTTTACCGTAGAAAGTCCACTGAAAATATTTCTTTATTAAAATTCTATGAAAGTGAAATTTGGAAAAAGTAAAGAGCGATGATAACATACTAACATACCTATTTGTCACAGTTACTCAAGACTTCATACTCGGTGTACAACATGCTCCAACAAAGTAACGAATAATACCACGAAAATTGACTTTCAATTATCCAACATACAGAAAGAAATGAATGTAAGGAGACCAAGAGGACCGCGTCGTCACAAATGGTAAGAACCTGCACTACAGTATGCATAACATGATATTTGCTATGGATTTCAATAAATTCAACTAAAAATATGCTGTGTTCTTAGTGTTTCAACTTCTTGTTAAAGAAACATCCCCCACGACTGGTCCTCCAATGATTTACTTTCGTTAATACATGCAATGGCAGACATATACTTGACTATACTTTAATCTCCATCTTATTTATACTTCCACAGAACATATTGCACGGTGTCAGAGTTTTATTTCTCAGAAAATTCAAAATTGGACTGTACCCAAGTTTTTCACATATTTCAAGAAATAAAGTTCTTCATGAAAAGTCGTACTTACATGAAGTTCTGGCTTTCATAGCAATCACTTACGTGAACTACAGTCATAAACAGTTAAGTCGTAGTTAAAGATCGTCCAAAAATTTCCACTCACTTTCTTACTATACGTGACACTTGTACCAATGGTAAAACAATGAATCCAACTTTTCACATTTCAAGACGTTTACAATTCCACTATAGAATTTTATGCTACGAAGAATTTGTCGAACAACTTTCGTAACCGTTTCCTTGCGAGAAATACAACTGCACGTTAGATTGCAATGTCAAGTAGAAGAGAAAATTCGAGGCCAGACGTAAGATACGCATTTGAAAAGAACAGTCTAAGGGAAAAGCACAGTCTCCCCTTTCTTAAATATTTATTCTCTCCTCCGATATAAACGTTTATTGTATGTACGACTCCCCATTGGTGATTTATGTTTCGAGAAATTTGTCGTCTGTTTTTTCTATTCATTTCTCCCGCGCGGTGCATTCATGCGTAACATTTCAATGGAAAATAACAAACAGCGAATACGACAAAATTACAAATTACAAGGAGCGTATAACTGTTCTTAAAAAGTGTAAATAAGTAAACAGAGTCGGCATGTTCCCCATCGTTACGATAATTATATGGCCCGCGAATCCGAGGGGAAAACATATAATGGGAACTGACTTCTGCAAAAGTATACTAGAAATCCCGATATGTTATAGCCTTCAGTTGTACCTAAACATCCGTTCAGCAAAGAATCAGAATCGCGAGTACAATGTATTGTTTCTATCCTTAATTTCGTAATATGCGAGTTTTTGCAACGTCGAAGGCATAGAATATCTCTCTTTTGCAGTGTTACCGTGTCATTCGATCCTCATTTTACGAATAATCGGACCCAAATCTATATTTCGACGTACGTATGTAGTACGATAAGAAAACTTTGATGTGAAACATAAGGAACGTGGAATTCTTAGTACTTCGTGATACGCAGCAATTCGAAGGTTCTTTGTAGAATTAACAATGCACATACTACAAGGAGTGTTCGTGCTTCTCAGCTTGTGTGGCTGTTGGCGACCGTCTTCTTGGACATCCCGGTCCAAAAAGTTTCTGTACACTGCGTATATGGTTACTATGGTGTTCTTGACGCACAGCTTCTTGTTATTCCTTATATTGGACTTAGTCCTGAATGTTGATAATCAGGAAGATTTCAGTGATAATTTCTATTTGACTGCGGAAATTTTTGCATGCACCTGGAAAATGCGTAACGTAATAATAAATTCTGAAAATTATGTAAAGTTGATCGACAGTCTTCAAAGAGAACCATTGGCGCCAGTGAGCAACGACGAAACGATGATTCGATCGAGATTCGACAAACTAGCCGAGTAAGTATACGTCGAAGTTGTCGATAATAATAGCAATTTGTTTTTTCGTAACTGTTCCAACGTTTCAGCAAGATTGCAGTAAGCTTCGTCAAGGATCTGCAATCATCTGCAACAAGTGTTTCGATCGATCCGTTGATCAGTTGAGGAAGCTCTGCAATGTTGACGAAACAACGGAACACTGATTCACGATTTGAGCCTAGAATTCGGTTAACTGCGTGTTTAATCATTGAAACGATCAACAATATTTGATAGTGGGACTTTCTTAACAGATCGAACGCAGTTGTCTATGCGACTTCAGTGACAATACTTCTAGCGTGTATCCTTGCGACGTCGATCTTCAAAGATTTCGAAACAGGAGAATTATCGTATCCAATATGGTTACCATACGATTATTCTTCCCCTTTTTTGTTCACTATCGTTTACGTTTATCAAAATATAAATTTAGTGGTCACTGCATTTTTGAACGTTAGCTGCGACAGTCTGTTCACCGGCCTTCTGATCCACACCTGCGGTCAACTTGAAATATTGCGACATCGTCTGAGACACGTTAACAGAAACGGAGGCTACTCTGCGGAACACTGTGCCCGTCTACATAATCGAATATACAAGTTGGTCTGCGATTTTTCTAGCAAATTCTAACTTTAAAAATGGTGGACTGAATGGTGGACTCCGGGTCCGATTTGACCCGGATATAAATTTTCCTGTTCCCGATTTCGGTACAAGGTTTCTAATTCAATTCTTGTGTTATCGTAAATATTAAATATTCATTTATTTATTCAAAACTAAAACTTAGCAACTTCGAGTTTGAAATAGTTATAAATAGATTACACAATATTGAGGAGCATTTTTGGCCAGTCGTAGATTGAACTTCGAAGCATGACGATACAGTTTCGAGAATAATATTGCTCCCTTTTTTAATAGCATAGATGTAAATAGTCAGGTTCACCCACTGCGTAGTTTAATGCCCCCTCTACCTAAACACTGACATCGTTACAGATTCGCCACAATAGTGGGCGAACGATTTAAAACTATAATATGTATTCAGTTCCTGGTGAGTACGTCTACCATATGCGTCGAAATTTATAATTTGACGCAAAGGGACCTGGATTCGAAATACATTGTAACTGTAGGCTACACAAGTTGCGTAGTTCTGCAAATATTGTACTACTGTTGGAACGGGAACGAAGTCCGATTGAAGGTTCCATTGCATGATAATGAATTTAATTTTCAATTAGAGTACTAAAATTTCACGGAGTGCTTTTCCGTGTAGAGTCTCGAAATACCTGGCATGATAATGGAAAGTGACTGGATCTCGTTGGATACTGGCGATAGGAAGACCTTCCTAATTATCATGAACCGAGCAACGATGCCCATCGAATTCAGAAGCGCTCACGTTGCTACGATGAACCTCGAGTCTTTTATGGCAGTTAGTACGAATTTAATATACGTTCTCCATATTTTGTTATCCAATTTAATTGAACCGTGTCTTTGATAAAAGGAGATAAAATTAGTAACCAGCAAAGTAACGGTACAAGGTTCCTCAAATTTCACACACCCTACGAGTTTAAAGTTTAACAAACTCTCTGATATAGAGGGTAAAAGATATGGATTGTCGATAGAATGATCTGTATTTAAATTTGAAATATGTATTCGTTATAGATAATCAAAACTTCTTACTCGGTGTATAACGTGCTTTTACAAGGCCAAGAATAAGATCTGTTTATCAAATATAGAAAACGAATTAATTCCATGGAATGAAAGGAAAGAAGAAGGAAATGTAGTAGGGATGCTTCAAAACTGTCTTCAAGTATGTAAAGTACGATACTATGGACACAATTCCAATAGAGATCTATTAATATTGTAGTGCTAAGAGTTTGTTGATATAATTATTGTTTAATAAAATTTACAAACTACGTGAGAATTTTTTACTTTTCATCGGATTGAAGATAAGACGTCCTTGAAAACAAATTTTGTTGCAAGTCGATACTGTAGATAATTTCGGAGAAAACAATTATGTCCAGAAGAAATAGCATAGTAATTATGTAAACACGTCGTGTACAAATTTAAATTCGTCTTGAATGAAATAGACATTTTATGATCCAGTTTTATCTTACACTAGTCGTACGATCAGTAGGAGTTACTGAAACTTCTTTGGGTGCATGGAGTCACTGTAAATATCAAAATAAGCATAGAAGATAGCAAAAATAATAATAGTTGTTATAGTCATCGGGTAGGGGATGAAATACCCTTTAAAACGAGCGTTCGAACAAGTCGATAGCTCTATTAGTTCCGGAGATACAGCGATTTTAGTTTCAAGTCGATGTGGTGGCTAGTTCCGGAGATATAAAGATCCGAAGCGTTTGTTTACGTTTCATTGGGATCAATGAACTCGCGCGCGTGAAAAAAGTAAACAGTGCGTAGTAAATTCTTGGAAATACTACGCCGCGACTAGGTCACTCAGTCGCGACTCACGTGCGACAAAGAGGTACGACGCGACGCGTCAGACGGAGACAGAGATAGTCAAATTAAGAAAAATTACTGTTTACATAAATTGCGATATCTCAAAAACGGAAAGTCGGATCGTCAAAAACCAAAAACCATTTTAAAGGGGATGATTTACCACTTCAAACGATGTCTCATTTATAAATAAAACGTTAGTAGTTTCGCAACTGTACGCATCCAAATTTGTGGTACCTTTAATTCGCGTTCTAAGACTGTTCTAAGACAGTGGAAACTGAAAATTCTCTCCTTTCGTGTTTACTATACATATATTTCCTATTTACATCTAAAGCCAACCAGAATTTGGTACCAAATTTTGTCCAGTTGTATTACAAGAGAAATATAAATCATTCAACCGGTCACATTACCAGTCGTATTAGGCTTAGTGTCAACTGTCATATCAAAATAAAATAAAATTACAGATTAACCATTGTAATCTCTACGACATCTGCACACATACACTTAAACATCTTTTTTATATTTTCACAAAACATGTTGCACATTGTCAGAACTTCATTTCTCAGAAAATTCAATTTCTGTAGACAGCACCAAGGTTTGCACATGTTTCAAGAAATAACATTCTTCATGACATGTCGTATATCAAGTTCTGGCTTTTATAGCAATCACTTACATGCACTACAGCTACAAACATTTAAGTCGCAATTAAAGATTGTCCAAACAATTGCAATCACTTTCATAATATACGCGACACTTAAACCAATGGTAAAACAATGAATCCAACTTTTCACATGTTCGAACGGAACGTTTACAATTTCACTCTAGAATTTTATGCCACGAAGAATTTGTCGAACAATTTTCACAACCCTTTCCTTATGAGAAACAGAACCCCACGTTGGATTGCAAAGTGAACTAGCAAAAAAGACCTCAATGACAGACATAAGATGCGTATTTCAAACGAACAATCTAAGGGAAAAGCACTGTCCTCTCTTCCTTAAATATTTATTCTCCCTTCCGATATATACGTTTATTGTATGTACGACTCCACATTGGTGATTTATGTTTCGAGAAATTTGTCGTCTGTTTTTTCTATTCATTTCTCCCGCGCGGTGCATTCATGCGTAACATTTCAATGGAAAATAACAAACAGCGAATACGACAAAATTACAAATTACAAGGAGCGTATAACTGTTCTTAAAAAGTGTAAATAAGTAAACAGAGTCGGCATGTTCCCCATCGTTACGATAATTATATGGCCCGCGAATCCGAGGGGAAAACATATAATGGGAACTGACTTCTGCAAAAGTATACTAGAAATCCCGATATGTTATAGCCTTCAGTTGTACCTAAACATCCGTTCAGCAAAGAATCAGAATCGCGAGTACAATGTATTGTTTCTATCCTTAATTTCGTAATATGCGAGTTTTTGCAACGTCGAAGGCATAGAATATCTCTCTTTTGCAGTGTTACCGTGTCATTCGATCCTCATTTTACGAATAATCGGACCCAAATCTATATTTCGACGTACGTATGTAGTACGATAAGAAAACTTTGATGTGATACATAAGGAACTGGAATTCTTAGTACTACGTGATACGTAGCTATTAGAGGGATCCTTGTAGAATTAATAATGCACATACTACAAGGAGTGTTCGTGCTTCTCAGCTTCTGTGGCTGTTGGCGACCGTTTTCTTGGACATCCCGATCTAAAAAGTTTCTGTACACTGCGTATATGGTCACTATATTGATCTTCACGCATAGTTACCTGTTATTTCTTATATTGGACTTAGTCATTAATGTTGACAATATAGAAGATTTTAGTGATAATTTCTATATGACAGTGGAAGTTTTTGGAGTCTGCTGGAAAATGCGTAATGTAATAATGAATTATGAAAATTATGCGAAATTGATCGACAGTCTTCAAGGGGAACCATTGGCGCCAGTGAGCATCGACGAAACGATGATTCGAAAGAGATTCGACAAACTATCAGAGTAAGTATACGTCAAAGTTGTCGATAATAATAGCAATTTGTTTTTTTCGTAACTGTTCCAACGTTTCAGCAAGATTGCAGTAAGCTTTGTCAAGGATCTGCAATCATCTGCAACAAGTGTTTCGATCGATCCGTTGATCAGTTGAGGAAGCTCTGCAATGTTGACGAAACAACGGAACACTGATTCACAATTTAAGCCTAGAATTCGGTTAACTGCGTGTTTAATCATTGAAACGATCAACAATATTTGATAGTGGGACTTTCTTAACAGATGGAATATAGTTGTCTATTCGACTTCAGTGGTAATACTTCTAGTGTGTATGGTAGCGACGTCGATCTTCAGAGATTTCGAAACAAGACAATTACCAAATCGACTATGGTTACCATGCGATTATTCTTCTTTTCTTTTGTTCACTATCGCTTACATTTATCTAAGTATGAATCTAGTGCTCTGCTCGATTTTGAACGTTAGCTGTGACAGTCTATGCAGCGGCTTTCTGATCCATACCTGTAGCGAGCTCGAAATATTGCGACATCGTCTGCGACTTGTCAAAAGAAACGGAGACTACTCTGCGGAACACTGTGCCCGTCTTCTTAATCGTATATACAAGTTGGTCTGCGACTTTTCTAGCAAATTCTAAAGTTAAAAATGGTGGACTCCGGGTCTGCTTTGACCCAGATATAAATTTTCCCTATATCGGTTTCTGATTGAATTCTTCGGATGTGAAAAAGTTTGAATAGTTCGGAAGTTGAATGCTTCGGAAGTGAATAGTTTGAACGGACCTGGAGTCCGCTGGCCAACAGTTAAAAACGGATTACACAATATTGAGGAACATTTTTTACTGGTCGTAGATCAAACTTCGAAACATAACGATACAGTTTCGGGAATAATTTTGTTACCTTTTTTAATAGCATCGATGTAAATAGTAAGGCCCACCCGTTGCGTAGTTCAATCCCCCCTCTACCTAAACACTTACATCGTTACAGATTCGCCACAATAGTGGACGAACGATTTAAATCTATAATATGTATTCAGTTCCTGGTGAGTACGTTTACCATATGCATCGAAATTTATAATTTGACGCAAAGGGGCCTGGATTCGAAGTATATTGTAACTGTAGGCTACACGATATGCGTAGTTCTGCAGATACTGTATTATTGTTGGTACGGGAACGAAGTCCGATTGAAGGTTCCATTGTATGATAGTGAATTCAATTTTCAATTAAAGTACCAAAATTTCACGTAGTGTTTTCACGTGCAGAGTCTCGAAATTCCTGACATGATAATGGAAAGTGACTGGATCTCGTTGGATACTGGCGCTAGAAGGACCTTCCTAATTATCATGAACCGAGCAACGGTGCCCATCGAATTCAGAAGCGCTCACGTTGCTACGATGAACCTCGACTCTTTTATGGCAGTTAGTACAAATTTAATATATGTTCTCCATACTCTGTTATCCAATTAAATTGAACCGTGTCTATCGTAAAAGTTTGATACAAGTAATGATATAAGGTTCCTCAAATTCCAGTTTAAAGTTTAACAAACTGTCTGATATACAGGATAAAAAGAAATCGATTATGGATTGAATGATTTGTGTTCAAATTTTAAATATGTATTTGTTGCAGATACTCAAGACTTCTTACTCGGTGTATAACGTGCTTTTACAAGGCCAAGAATAAAATCTGTTTAACAAATATAGAAAACGAATTAATTCAATGGAATGAAGGGAAAGAAGAAGGCAATGAAGTAGGGATGCTTCGAAACTGTCTTCAAGTATGTAAAGTATGATACTATGGACACAATTCCAATAGAGATCTGTTAATATTGTAGTGCTAAGAGTTTGTTGATATAATTATTGTTTAATAAAATTTACAAACTACGTGAAAATTTTTTACTTTTCATCGGATTGAAGATAACGCCCTTGAAAACGAATTTTGTTGCAAGTCGATACCCTAATTAATTTCGGAGAAAATAATTATTATATATAATATTATTATATAAAAGAAATGGCATAGTAATTATGTAAACACCGTATGCAAATTTAAATTCATCTTCAATTAAATAGATATTTTATGATTCAGTTTTATCTTACACTAGTCGTACGATCAGTAGGAGTTACTGAAACTTCTTTGGGTGCATAGAGTCACAGTAAATATCAAAATAAATATAGAAGATAGCATAAATAATAATAGTTGCTATAGTCATCGGGTAGGGGATGAAATACCCTTTAAAACGAGAGTTCGAACAAGTCGATAGCTCTATTAGTTCCGGAGATATAGTGATTTTAGTTTCAAGTCGATGCGGTGGCTAGTTCCGGAGATATAAAGATCCGAAGCGTTTGTTTACGTTTCATTGGGATCAATGAACTCGCGCGCGTGAAAAAAGTAAACAGTGCGTAGTAAACGCTTGGAAATACTACGCCATAACTGGGTCACTCCGTCGCGACTCACGTGTGACAAAGAGGTTCGACGCGTCAGACGGAGACAGAAATAGTGAAATTAAGAAATATTACTGTTTACATAAATTGCGATATCTCGAAAACGGAAAGTCGGATCGTCAAAAACCAAAAACCATTTTAAAGGGGAAGATTTACCACTTCTAACGATACCTCATTTATAAATAAAACGTTAGTAGTTTCGAAACTGTATGCGTCCAAAGATTGGATATCTTGTCCAGGTTTTTACAAAAAAAATATAAATCTTTTAACCGGTCAGATGATCGATCGTCGTAGGTTTAGTGTTAACTGTCACATCAAAATAAAATGAAATTACAGATTAACCATTATAATCTATAAGACACCTGCACACATACACTTAAACATATTTTAATCTTCACCTTTGTTATATATCCACAAAACATATTGCACATCATCACATATATATTAGAACTCAATCTTCTATTTAATTTTTAAACTATTGACTTTTCAATTTCCGTCGAATTACTATTACCAGGTTACAGTGTTAACCCTATATTTTGTAAATAATAGAAAAACCATTTTGTTACTGACCGTGTCTCTTCCAAAATAAGTGAGAATATTTGGTACAGATCCATCAAGTCTGCACAACCATACAATTGTATTCCATGTTCTGCTTTCCTCGCAGTATATACTATTCAAACGGTAGCAATAATTTTCTATAGCTCTTATCGAACGATACATCGCGAATAAATATGTTTTAAACGAACGGTGGAATATAAAAATGACTATATCGTCTCCCTTTTGAACGTTTAGCATATTCCCCCGTGAAAAATGTTCACTGCAATTGATTCCCCTTTCAAGAATTACGTTTCTAGAAATTTCTCTACCTATTCTTTCTACGAAACGCATCTTTCCATAGGATCGCAACGGAAAATAAGGTACGTGTGTGTCGTTACCCCTAAAAAATATAAATAAGTAAGTCGCGTCGTCGTATTCTGTATCATTACGGTAATAATACGGTCCGCCAGCCCGATGAAAAAAAGTAATAGGAAGAAATTCAATCCGCCGCGGGTGAACAGGGAGTCGCGATCTCCTATAGTATTCAGTGAATCGCAAACCTTCGACGACAACCAAAGATCGCGACGAGAGAAATGTTTTCTCCGTTCGTATTTTCGTAACTTTTCGTTAAACATCGTCAACGTCCGAAAACAGTAAACTGAATTCGAGATCACGTCAAAGTATGCACCGAGGCAACTTTGTTTTCACCGTGAAAGTAGACTTCTAATTTTGAGATTTGACAAATTTTTTTTAATTTACGATGCACTCGCTACGATGGACATTCGCGATTCTGACCGCGTGCGGTTGTTTGCGACCGTCCTCGTGGACGTCGCCGTTCCAGAAGATCTTGTACAACGTTTACACGATTTTTATCATCTTTCTGACGCATATCCTACTGCTCTCCCAAATCTTGGACATAGTTCTCGACGTCAAGAACCAAGACGAACTCTGCGACAACATATACATTACGCTGGCCGTGTTCGTTAGCTGCTGCAAGATGCAAAACTTTCTACTGAAGAAGAAAAAGATTGCTCGTCTGTTGGACGCGCTTCGAGAGGAACCGTTTCTGCCAATGAACGCTCCGGAGATCGAAATTCGAAAGGAATGCGATAAAACCATTAGGTGAGTCGGTTCTTAATTATTATACCGCCAAAGATATTAGAAATATTGCGTTTAAGCCACTTTGCAAGTCTAAGAGGTATCGAAACTATACTCCGTTAATATTCGATGAAATATACGATACTTTCGAAAAATTTCTTTGTTAAATATTTTTAATTTACTGTTATATATAAACGGTACACGTTCTTTAAATTTCGAGTGTAAAATGAATCGTTTTCTATTTATCATTGCTGGTTAATTAGATTTTTATACGATAATACTTGGATAATGATTATTAAATAAGCCTTAGATATAAGTTGAGGGTAATAGTGATTTAATTAGAATGTTTAAATTGATAACGGCGTCGTTGCAGATGGAACGTGATTGGCTACACGGGTTTGATCGAGTTTTGCATATTGTGGGTGTGGATATCCTCGGTTTTCAGAGATTTCAAACACCGACGGTTGTCGTTTCGCATGTGGGTGCCTTACGACTACTCTTCCACTGTCCCGTATACTGTCTCTTATGTCCATCAGGCTGTAAGCATAACGATCGGCTCGCTTCTGAACGTTGCTGGCGATACTCTGTTCAGCAGCCTATTGATTCACACATATTCCCAGCTGAAAATCCTCGAACATCGTTTGGAAAATATTGCTAAAGATGACAACCGCCCGGTAGAGGAATGCGCTTATCACCATCGTTGCATATACCAGTTGGTTTCACAAATGATTACTCGCGAGGAGAGGGCCAGAAGTGAAATCGAGCTTTTCAGTAAGTGGCAAACGGAATTACGAAATTGAACTCTTCTTGGCAAAGAAACGTCCCTCACTTCTGGTCCCCGCCCGATTTACTTTTATTAATATTTATATTCGCCCAATTCTGGGAAAAATTTTAATGGGGGATTCTAGAGGCCAAAATAAAACGAAAATCAAGAATACCAATTTGTTGATGGAAGCTTTGTTAAAAAGTTATTAACGTTTAAAGTTTCGCCCTTACTGAATTTTTTTCTCGAAAATACGCAGGAATTCGGGGGTATGTCTATTCACCAAAAATGATTGTAATTAACCCCCGCTACTGGAAATAATTTTTCCAGAACGATTTGAAATTTTTTTTTTCGTCGAATTTAGGCACCTGATCAGATTTTCGGTAAGGAATTTTTTTCTCGAAAGTGCATAGAGTTTCGAGGTTATGTGTAATGACCAAAAATGATTGTAATTGACCCCTGCAATCGAAAATAATTTTTTTAAAACGATCTGAAATTTTTTTTTCTGTCGAAAAATTTCACACCTTCTCGAATTTTTTTCTAGAAAGTGGGTAGGATTTCGGGGGTATGTTTATTCACCAAAAATGATTATAATTGACCCCTGCAACCGAAAATAATTTTTCCAGAACAGTCTGAAATTTTTTTTTCACTCGAAAAATTTTACACCTTCTCGAATTTTTTTCTCGAAAATGCGTAGAATTTCGAGGGTATGTGTAATGACCAAAAATGATTGTAATTGACCCCCGCAACCGAAAATAATTTTTCCAGGACGATTTGAAATTTTTGAATTTAATTGTTAATAACTTTCAAACGAAGCCTCCATCAACAAATTGGTATTCTTGATTTTCGTCTTATCTTGGCCTCTAGAATCCTCGATTAAAGTTTGTTTCGGGGGTGGCTGAACACCCTTTATATTAATTATATTTCATATGGAATAGTGTCGAAGGTTTATCTCTCAATAAGATTTTTAATAACAATGTTTAACATGTCCCGCCCAAAATCAGTTTCAGAATCACACGTTTCGAATTTGCATCGTGATGTATAATAGAAACTTACAAATAATGGAATTTTCGAAAATGTTCTCTATTTAAACATAATTTTGGTTCCTCAACAGTGATTAAATTTATACATATATACATTACTAATTTTAAAACAGTCAAATAGTTAAAATTTCTTATTAGAATGATCGGTATAATGAAAATAATTTCAACGTCAGAAATTAAAAAGTGATCCTCCATTTGATAGTCGACATGTGCAATTTTACAAAATCTGAACGACCAAACTCAATCTCGAATATTTAACGATATACAATATGACTGTATTATTACATATTATTTATCGTTTGGCCTATGAGACGCAGAAATTCATATATATGAATCATAAATAAATAAAATCTAGAGAAGGTACAACTAATACAAATTGCCATTTCTCCAACTTTCCCAGCGAGTCAGTACAATTTGAACGAACAAAAAGTATTGAAGAACGAAACGTAAATGCAGTGAATTGATTTTCGTTTTTTAAACCGAATACAGATTCGCAGCAAAGGTGAACGAAACGTTCAAAGGCGTGGCGTGTACTCAATTTTTAGCCAGCACGTCGGTCGTGTGCTTCAACCTTTATCGAATAACGCAAAGAGATTTAGGCTCAAGATTACTAGAAACGATAATATATGCGATCTGCATGCTCACGGAGATATTTTACTATTGTTGGTACGGGAACGAAGTCAAACTCAAGGCACGTTATTGCTATAAAAGTTTCTAATTTTCAATCGTTCCTCGAAATTTCAAGCAACGCTGTTTCTGTAGAGTCTCGACATCCCTGACGTGATAATCGACAGTGACTGG